TGTGAAATACACAATGGTAGTTCGTTAAACGCTGCCTTTAATGAGATCATAACTTACGTAATACATCAAAATATAGGAAAAAATACACAAAAACTAACATCAATAGACACTGATTTCGATATTCTGAAAATATAATAATATATAAAACACAAGAAAGCCATTTAAATAACAAAGAAACGTCTGATGGCCGGCAAACTATAAAAATTATATTAAAACGTCTCAATGCGAAGGTATAACGCATTGTATGAGCGGCGAGTCCGACATGGCGGGAAAAAAGATTCAAAAGACAATCAAATGAGGAACAGCGAAAACGGGAATAAAAGGAATAACAAAAAGGAATATGGCGGATTGTTTTTAATTATCGAGTATCGGCATAAATCGATGCACGTCGCCGCGGGCCGCCGGGGTGCGCGCGCGCAGATACAGACGGTACACACTTATAACTATATATATTATTTAACATAAATATATATAATATATATAAAAATTATTACATACTAAAAAATCATTAGATTACCATTAGTATATATTTAACTTAAATATCATATATATTTTTTTATTAATAAAAAATAAATTCAATCAATAAAAATATAACAAAAATAATTTATATGTATGGAGTAGTATTGATACACATTTTATATAATATAAATACATATTTTTTTACAATCAACAACATCTCCACGCCATGTTAGTCCGGTTTCATAAAATTCATATGTATGGGTGAAGGCATCGCGATCTCGCGGATGTAAAATATATTTTACTTATAAATAAGAACATTGTTGTAATGTCTGTACGTACTCCTTTGTCATTGGCCCTGTGTGTGTATAAATAGATTGGATTCGTGTTATGGATGCACTAATTTAGTTAGTGTTACTTATAACTATTAAAGTAGTTAGTTTTGTATCAAATGATAGTTAGGTAATGATTTTAGTATTTAGGGGATTTATTAAGAGGAATAAGATTGAGTTATTGGTATTTTTTGTTTGGGTTAGGTTGTGTTTTTAAATATACTAGTACATATACATATGTGTAGTTTATTCCATTTTATAGTTTCTGTGTAATTTGTTAATATATTATTTAAATATATATATTTTATACTAAAGATTATGCAACCTACATTTATAGTCTCAATACATACCTTGTCTATCGTATTTTATTTAAAAAACTTCTATATTCTATATAAAACTTAATAATCTAATTAATGGTTGTTTGTATTTAATTCTTCTTATAATAACAAGATAAATATTTCCTTATTATTAACAGTCTTGTATAATCAATGGGTTATCAAAATCTGTTTAAGTAAATGGGATGAACCACATCTTTATTCTATTTAGAGTAACAACTTTAATACCATTCAACAAAACTGGTTTAGTAATTTTTGTATGACAGTTCAACATTCATTAAAACTACTATAATGTTAATTAAGATATAATATTATCCCATACTTATAAACCAAGACATATTTCTTTAAATATATTTTTCTGTATGTGATTAGAATTCAATACTAAGTATTTTCTAAACGCACATATTTCTTTATACGACCAAATAAATTAAGAGGAAAGTTCAAAAACCACAAAAATAACCCAAACTCTTTGTCCGTTCGGGATTCAATTTAGGGACGGTGGATTTTTTTTGGGGCTTTTTTTCCCTTAAAATGATCAACGACAGCACCACAATGATGGAATGGGGTCTTTTTGGGTCTTCAAGACCTTTAGACATGAGACAATGGGGCGGGTCAGTGACCTTGGATTATAAAATTTTGGTAACCCCATTTAGGCGTTATAGCTTCATTCACAGTCGAAATTATGGAGATTTTTATTTCATAATTTTCATCAAATATTTTCGTATTAAAATTACATACATATATAAATAGCATTTCCAACAAAAACTATTTTATAAAACAATACCATTACTAAGGGTTTAAAATAAAATCGAAAGTTTAAATTTCATTCAAGATTCGTTGAAGATACGCTGATGATGATTTATAATAAATTGTAAATGATTAATGAATAACTTTCAAACTATTTGTGTTTAAGTAAACTTAGGGAACATGTGTTAGGGGTGCTACTGTATAATAGACAAAAATATAAACATTTCCTTCGGATTCGTTTGCATTATAAATAATATTTCTTATATAAAATTCACTTAATAATATTGAATACGTATATTTTATATCTAAGAACTTAAACAAAAATAAATTAAACAATCTTAATGCTTTGTTAATATTATAAAACTTTGTTAAAAATCGGCACCCAACAAAGTTAATGTCAAGTTCATCAAGTGTTCCATTAAGTATTGAAATGGGTATAACAAATAAAACAAAGGTGGAAACAAAACAAAACAAAGTACAACATCACCATTTCATATTTCAATATTTATCGCGGGATCATTCTTTTTGGATGGAATACGTTCCTTTGTCCGTCTTATTATAAACGAGCTCCGCGGAGATACATTTTTTAAGAATCATTACGTTTTTGAGTTTCTTACTTCGTTCTGAGCTCTGGTTTCATTCATTTAATGTGGATAAGATATATTTATATATATAAATACATAATATTTCTTTATAAATATTTTTTAGGACAAAACTAATGTCATAATGAAAATTGTATCTAAATTTATATATTGCAAGCAGTCGAATTAATTACTTTAGATATTAAAACAATGTTAATATCATACATACACATACAAACACACATACAAACACACATACATACATATAAATTCTATCAATATAAATCAGTTCATGTCCTCACTAAGATCACCACAACAGAGTGATGTATTAAGAATTTTATTTTTGTTTTGTACTTATCTCCCGAACACTTGACTGTTAAAGATTAATTATTTAAATTATACAAATATATATAAAATCTATAACTATGAATTTTTTCAATCGCTTCTGTATACATAGAAATCGCGACAATTGTTAAATTAATTAACTGCTTATATTGAAAAAAACTGCTATATTTTTCACTGTAGCTAACCAAAACATTTTTAATATAATCTTTACTTAATTTTAACCCCAATTTTGATATATTTCGTCCATACACTCAGTTATAAAAGATTTTGTAACAAAATCCTTTCTCACATACACTGCCGCGTCATTGGACGCATCGATTTGAAAAAAAATAACAAAAAAAAATATATATCTCAACTCGTTCTTGAGGATTTCATATTTTAAATAAGTATTTGAATGCAACATGTGCTAAGTCACGTTCGGTTTGATGTGGCATACAAGAGTATACTGCGGCTTTACTCGTTATATTATATGGAATATTTAAATTATATGTTATATATATATGGAAAGATTTTGTGTATGATAATAGATATAATAATTGAAGTGATGTTTTATTTGTATAAGGTTTAGTTGGAAACTAATTTATGACGTCACTTTTAGTATGCTTCGATGATGTAAGATTATTCGTAAAATATCCCGCGAGGTAGATTAATAAATATTATTATGTATAGAAAATTATATGAATACGATTTAGAATTATGTATTAAATTAATTAATTATTTTTTTTGTTTATTGAATATTGAGATATACGTAAGATATAGAACTAAAACTGTTAAATTTTGTACATAAATTAATTTTAAGTACTTTCGCGAATTTACATTTGTAGTTATGAAGATTGACCACTTAGTTTTTTGTTTTCAAACAGTGACATACCATGTTGATTATTTTACAATGTATATAGGTTCTATTTATATATTGTAATCAAAACTAAATTGGTAAGAATTAAGATATAAATAAAAACGTAATAAAGGAATTGTATGAAAATCCACAAAAACTTAACCAAAAGAACGATATACATAAATACAATAAGGAATTAACTCTGTAAAAACAAAATGTCTGAAGAAAATCGTAATTTTTATAGCACGTAAGTGATATGTGGAACAAAGATACTTCAGACGTACAAAAACAGAAATGAAATGATTCTCATAAAATAATTGAACCGTTTCCGCAAACCGCCTCGTAAATAGAATGTTACACTTCTTTAGCTTCCTTCATTTTAAAGTGATGTATTACAAATAAATATTTCATTAATTCATTTTTATATCTCGCTTATTTCTTGTACATTCTGCTCGTACAATCCTTGTAGCGATGTAAACTATTAAATATTATAGTTAAAACACATTATTTCTCATGTAATTAACAGTATTAAGTATTTTTTGTGTAATTTTACGAAATATGATTTAATATATTGATCTTTAAATTTGTATATCGTTAAACTCACGCCATCTAGTGAAATAAATATGGAACTCATTTTTTTCGCCGCTAGATGACGCACTTATGTAGCGTGATAATTGTAATTTCTAAGTAATATATAATTCGGTTTGAACATTAGTTTTTTTAACATAAAGTAAGATAATTTAAAGTATGCAAATGGATTCATCTAAAAAGGATATCTTTGGAAAACAAATAAAATACATAAATTTTTTAAATAATACATATTTATTTATAAATTATGCGGTCACATGATACAAATTATTTACAATTAAATATTACCGTTAAATATAAAAAAATAGACTCCGTTTGGGGCGAGCGACCTTTTCCAAGATAATCTGTGGTGGCAGACAGAATATCTGGGAGATGGTCACCGAAACCAAGCAGAATCCAAGCTAACATTCATTAACACCAAGCTTTAATCCAGAAGCTGCAATAAATATGTTAGGTGAATATATATAGAGATAACAAATCATTAAATACGATAATATTAACTTGAAACAGTGACTAGAGTACGCGGGATTCACCCCGAACGACTCCTCATATGAATTTGATAGGGTAACACTTAACATTTACTTAATAAATTAATAAATAATAATTTCATATAAAAAAAACCTGTTTACACTAAACTCCGAATCGTATAAGAATCGTTTCCAGTTATTAAAATTCGCGTCGGTGAATAATGTAAGACATATAATATAATAAAATCGTTTGGGGTCCCTCAAGGTTAGTACTTGGGTCCCATGTTTGTCAGTCCATGTTTGAGAATTTCGTTTTAATTTTCGACTACGTTAAGATAGAACGCGGCTAGGAAGTCTCCTTTGGAGGCGACGGCGCGGGCTTGATATTGACCGCTGTCATCAGCGTTGCACTTCACAATCTCCAGACGATAGCGGGACGTGCCTTCCATAGTGAATCTATATCTATTCGATGATTCGTCGATCGGCTTTCCGTCCTTCAGCCAGTTGAGTTGGAGTGGTGGCTGTTTAAGAAATTGAGTTAGAAAGAGCTTTATATATAATGGAAATAATGATTAAGAAAATGTTATAAGACTACCTTGTCCAACTCAGCGCTGAAGATAGCTGGTTCGCCTGATGCGACAGTGGCAGATGCTGGGAAGGCTGTGTAGTTGAGTGGAGGTGTTTCTCCCGCGCGTACTACTAGCGTGCAACACGAGAATGATTCGCCCATGTCGTTGAAAGCCTCGCAGGTGTAAACTCCTGGAAAACAATATTTTTTACTTGAAAATCAATAAAAGCGTGATATGAAAATGTAATAAATTATACGCACCGGCGTCTTCGGGGAATATTTCAGCGATGTGCAATTTGTGGATGTTAGCTTCGCTCGAGTATTGGAAGTCTTTCGATGGTTTGATTTCTTTGTTGTTGTGTAGCCAGACTACATCGAAACGCTCTGCGCCCGCGATTCTAGTTGGTGAAAACAAGTTTTAGTAACACAAAAATCACCTTGTAAATATTATTGTATTATTATATTATATTATATTATAGTAGTATTTCTTAGTGACTGAATTACCTGCAAGAAAGTGTGACAGGTTGTCCGTCGTCAACGATCTGTGAGATCGCGTGGTCTACTATCCTGGGTGGAGAATCTTTGATAGCGGCTACATCAGCTGTTCCTACAATTGTTTAAAATACGACATAAATTTCAGAGACTAAAACACATTTTTAAGAGAACTGATATATTTACAATGCGAATTAAAGACTTACCTTTGACAGACACTTGGCATTTAGTTTCGGCCTCTCCCTGACTGTTGGTCGCTTTCAGTGAGTACACACCTTCATCTTCAGGGAATATTTCGTTAATGGCAAGGGAGGCCACGCCGTTCTTATACTTCAGATCAACCACCTAAGAGATTTCATTAAAAATAAGTTTTATAATATAATGTGAATACTGAATAACAATCAAATAGTGGCATAGTTTCTTAGACCATAATTTTACAAAAAATAGTCAAGCATTGCATAAAAACTAATTTAATAATCGTAATTAAATTCAAGAAGAAATTAGATTCAAGGTTTTCGGTAGTTAAATCTTAGGAAGTATTGCTTGTCTTTTTATAACATATGAAAGTAAGCAAAGGATTTATTGACATGTTACATGTGTAATGTGTATTGCTCTAGGTACGGTATTAAATATAAATGAATATCTATGTTTACCTCAGACGAGACGAGTGGTCGTCCATCTTTGAACCAGGCCACAGACGGCGGGGGATCCCCGCGGACTGCACAAGATAACAACAGTGGCGCCCCGTCACGCGCACTGCATGAGTCGGGCAACGAACGTGCGAAGTGAGGAGATGACATTGACGCATCAGACGCCGGTACTGAAGAAACATACAAAGTTATAACTAGTAGCCCATAAGAATTAATTAAGTACGTATATCTTCCACCTGGCAATTTCCCAGCTTTAGCCAGGGTCTGCCTTACATGTTGTGAATAGTTTTGGCTAATTGTTTTTATGATCGGCCGCCTGCCTGACAGCAACCCTCTTTAGGAATGTATTAGTCAGTGATGTCTAAATACTCTTAGAAAGTACATATGACTCGGAAAAATCACATTGGGACTAGCCAGGATCGAACCCGTGCCTCATGCATGAGAGGCGGGCCATTTAACCACTAGGCCACCGCTGACTAATTAAGTACATATATGAGTACAAATATGAATTATTTTTCTACTACTTAAATCATTGTTATTCTTTTACTACCTAAAACACTAAGTACGTACATATTAATTCCTTAGTAGCGCTTCTAGACCTAGAGCCGGCGTCTGATTCCAATTTAGCGCCATACTTTTTATTTTTGCTAGCCTCCATTGAAGTCTGCGGCGAATACTTCGGTCTAAGTCCTGATTTGCTTGGTGGATCGATGGTCACCTGGAATTAGGGGTTTTATTGACAATTATATGGACATTTATTTGATAGACATTAAAAATACAACAGCCAAATGCATTTTAAATTGCGGTTGAGGATTCCCCAATATGGAGATGCTTCGTTATTTAATTTACCGTATTACAGTACTAAAATAGGTCGTATATAAAAATTGACTTGATATGATGAAGGTTTAAGGTACATTTCCATAACCAGATATTGCTTGAAATAAGTAGTCTTCTCACTGATTTTTATGCCATCGAGATTTGAACTTAAGAGCCAAGGTACAAAGACTGTGATTACAATACCCATACTAACTAATTTTAAGATGATATGCGTTAGTGTTCATAAATTTTTGTATTTTAATTACATGAAAGCTAGAGTAACTTTGATATAGCAAATTGGTCCAACGAAAAATATAATAAATTGTCCCATCTAGATTATTAAGCTTCAAGTACTTGAACATTCAAGAATGAATATTTAAATAGACTAAAATTAAATCAGTAGATATTATTTTTCCAATTCATTAGTACATACCTTAGTCTTAGTTATTATTGGTGGTGGGGCTGGTTTTAGTGGCTTCTCAATATAACGTCTCTCTCCGGAGTACAGAAGATTGTGGGCTAACGCTGCTTGCTCTTCTGATTGTACTTCACCTAATGGCAATTAACATTTCACTATTTAGTTACAAGCTATTTATTTGACATTTAAACGACAAGCTTATCTATCTAATAATAGGTTAGAGTGGTCATCAGCCTATCAGAGCCCACTGCTGAGCAAAGGCCTCTTTCTCACATGGAGAAGGTTTTAGCATTAATCACCACGCTTGCTCAAGACGGGTCGGACTAATAGAGTATGGAATCATAAGGTAAATGCTACTAGTTTGAGATCCGTATTTTTATGTAATGAAAATTATTAAGCAAAATTGAACTTTATACCCTCGACAATAACGACACAGCTGGTTTCATCTGTTCCATGTATGTTGGTCGCTACACATGAGTACTGTCCACTGTCTGATGGACGGCAATCAACGATCTCCATCGTCACAACACCATCAGATTGCGACATAGAGTAGTCGTATTTGGACAGCTCGCGTTTGTCCTTGAACCTAAAATAACAACAAGAAACATTTTGTTTATAAACAGGCAAATAATGCTCGTTTTTGGGATAGACAGAATTTATACTATTACTAGGTAATTTTTTTGGTCCCATACTTCCTAATCTCCAACTGTCTGTAATTCCAACACATTGTAAAACTCGACAAAAAAATATCAAAACCAATAATAGAGAATTAATAAGCGAATTCAAAGAACTTATATTTCTGTACCATTTGACAGTAGGTGTTGGTTTTCCGCTCAGACAGCAGAGCAGCTTGCAAGTGTCTCTGGCCTGCATAACACGTGGTCGCAGTTGGAAGGTGAATGATGGTGCTGTTTCACTGTGTTCTTGCCAGAAGGTATAAGGAAGGGCTTCGCGACGACGAGGTGCCTCTGCTGGTGGTTGGCGTTGTACTTTGGGAACCGCTGAAGATAAAAAAATACATTGAATACAGAAATTAAACTCGCACTATGAGAAAAATTACTAATCTGAAAATTAGAATCATTAAGATCATATTTGGTAACCGCTGAAGATAAAAAAATAGATTGAATATAGAAACTAAACTCATGCAATGAGAAAAATGATTGATAAATTTAAAGGTAAGGATCACTTAGACTATTACAAGCGTGTGGTTGTAATTGAAGAAGAAAAATAATCAATAGATTTAAATGTAAGAATCATTGAGATTATATAGCATTTGGTTGTATTGATGAAGAATGAAAGTTAACAAATTAGAATTAGTCAGTAATAAAATGTGAAACGAATAGTAGAATGTAACAATGTATGTTTTTAATAAAACAATATTAATTTTGATCCTCATTTGACATTTTGCATATTAACAGTATCAGCATTGCCAATTCGTATATCACTTCATAGCTAATTAAACTCAAGACATTTAGATAGAGCCAATGAACCTAGCTTTAAGAATAGATTATTGTGTGTGTGACCTATATAAGTCTTTGTATTTATAATCCTATTACTATGGAATGATATTGGTCATTACAAAGTAAAACTATCTTAATACCTATATACATTGAGACTAATATTTAACGGATATATTACGTGACTTTATTTTTGATAAAAACTACATACTCCCGACGTTTCGGTTACTTTACAGCAACCGTTATCACGGACAGACGAGATGTGAGTGCCTAATAACTATTATATAATAATACTAAATAACCACGCATTATTTTCAGTGCATATTTAATAGTATAATACACAATAAAATGAATAATGAATTTCAAGAAAATTTATGTACAAAGCAGTTGGTGATGTCTATCAGCGCTTTGCATCTAAAGTAAAATAAGATTAGTTAAATACGTCTGTTGCCAATTAATATTTCAGTAAAACATAAATACATGGTTGATGTATCATGAGCCAGAGTATATGAGATTTCATACGACATTGTGTAGTCTTTTGAACTGGCATATTTATTAATTGGCATTTTGGCTTGTAGGTCTATAATTAATGGCGGGTTTGGCTCAATTTCGAAGGTTTAAATGCGTTTGGATGATCATAATAGCAATGAAGTTAATTCGGAGTACTTGTAATGTGAAGTATATCTTTTTTATGTCGGATTGCCCATATTGATTTCTATCAATATGGATAATTTAATGTCTTAAAGATACCATTCTCGTATATTTTTAAAGATATTTAATGGTAATGGTATTTAATGGCTTTGGTAATGGAATGATATCTTTAAAGAAAAACAATAATCGTGAAAGAAAAATAATTGAGTATTAATTTTATTTAACCGTTAATTAAATTTTAAACTTAATTTGTAAGTAAACCGTAAATAGTGTGCTTTACTGATCATCAAACGCTTATCATTTGATTTTCCTAAACAATCGTCTCTTTAAAAAAACTTAAATGGAGAGTTCTTCTTAACTGTAATTTCAAATACATTGATATTCACGAATGTTTCTAATAATTACAGTACGTTTTAATTGACGATACTATATCTATAAAAAGGATATTTGAAACATGTTGTTCCTTTACTTTTGAATTTTGTGTAATTCTTATTATTTAATATTTAGCTTCTTATTGGACCTTTATATTATACATATATTATATATTAATTATCGGGATTAGATTTAAAAATAATTATTGACATTGTTCTGATTATAATAAAAAATCTCTAATTACGAATTCTTCTTCATAAGTAGAACTTCCTTCAATCATGACCTTGTTTGACTTTTATTATAGACTTATTTTATACTCACGTTGTACATTCAAGAAGACAACCTCCTCCCTTGATCCGTAATGATTCTCAGCCCTGATCACATACTCTCCTCGATCTTCCAACCTGGCGCGGTTGATGATGAAGTAGTAATCGTCTCCAGCGTACCTGGGTAATAAATGTTTAGTTTGAGAAAATCAGAATTACATGAACGAAAGGCGTCGATAGCATAAATATGATTGATGACATAGAAACTATAGATATATTTTCGTACGTCAGTTGATGGTAATGGACTAAATTATTCTTAAAAATCAACTTTATAATTTAATCTGTAAACTGATATTGTAACAAAAATATGAAGCTTAGAGTAAATTTAAACATAAAAAACGAAATCTTCCTTATGAGGCAAATAACAAAAATGTTTAAAGAAGTTCTAACATGAAAGTACCCAATCACACAAGTTCATCAACAAATACAAACCTCTTCATATATTTAACGGACTGCCTGAGCTCGCGGTTGTTCTTAGACCAGGTGACAGTTGGTGCAGCCAGAGCTATGATGCGGCAGTACAGCTTCACCGATTGACCCTCGTAGCAGAAGGCGGATTGAGGACGAATCACGAATCTAGGAGCGGCTTGACGGCGATCTGAAGACGAGATGAAGTCATAATTATATGAAGACTTTGGTTAGTTGTTTAAAATATGGCATTCATCCGTGAAAATAAATGCACAGTATATTCTTTCAGTGTCGTGTAGAATGGAGGAGACACGATATATGAAGACTTTAAAATTATAATATTGGCTATTCACTGGCATTGTATTTTGATAAAATTCTGATTTCTTCAATTCAGGACACCATATTTAAGCTGCACTCTTTGAAAATCATGTGTAACTTAATTTAAATTGAAATATATATGGCGTTATAAACTTTTCATGTGAAAGAAAAATGGTGTTTGGATTGCAAGTTAAAATATATATGCTTGTAACTTACATAAAATTTCTTTTTCCTATTTTCATATCGATTAAGGGATCATTAGGTCCATCTATATTACGGGTAACTATTTCATTATATATGAATAATAATCTTACCGAATTGTCCGTCGTATATCTTCCATTTCTCGATTAGCAGTTTGCGTAGAGAGCTGTACTCGCTTAGACGACCGATCGGCAAAACGAATGACGACCAGTTCTATAAAAAAAAATAGTATTATTGTATGAGCATAGAAAACGTTAGATTTATGAACTCGGAAATATACTGAGCTGTTGAAATTTTATTATCTTATTGTCTTTTATTATCGGGCTTATAGGCCCGAACTGTATGCATCTTGGTTTCGTATATTAAATGCCTACTTCATATAAAAATCTCTTCATCCTACAAAAATGTAATTCATTTATACAGGTCAAAATTCTAGAAACTATAAAGTAAGTAATTCTTTGTCCATACCTCGTATTTCTCACGTAATCTATCCCTCATCCTCTCGTATCTTCGTGCTTGTATCGTGGCGGTGCGTGCTGCTGCAGCATCACCCGCCAGCCAGCGGTGAGCCAAACATTCGTGGGCAGTCATACGTTTCCTTAAAGTAAGGTAATTTATTAATAACTTTGTTCCAAAGAAGTAATAAATATGTGTTTGTTATTACCAGACAACAGGAAGTTTAGTAACAAAATATATTCGATTTCGACAATTACATTGATATCATTCAGTATATAATAGCAATCTTATATGATTTTTTCTGTTTGAAGTCTTACAGCAATTAAAAGAGAATTTGGTAAAAGACAACTAATTTCATACAAACATATTTCAAAATACGATAGGCACAAAATCTATGCCACAAAAAATCTGCCCTAAATGATGATTATTTTAGTATAAAAGTTTACAATTTGATAAGATCACTCACTCCTTGTTCTTAACGAGCAGTCTTCGTATAAAGTCCTTTGCATCATCAGATACGTGTTGGAAGGCTTCTTCATCGAATTCCCAGTCACAGGCTTTGACATTCTTCAAGGTCTCGATGTCGTTGTTACCAGCGAAAGGTGATAGACCGGACAGACTGATGAAAACAATATAATAGCGAATATATTGGAATATTATACTAGTGCTATACATTTAAGAAACCTTAACATTATAGCAAAAACGTGTGCTTAAACTTTTCGACAAAACCAATGAAGATATCTTTATTATCTTTCTAATTTTATGTTATATCGTTTATATAAATTTTTATCATCTAACTTATTTAGTAGTACTCTAGACACAAATGACCCAAGTTTGACAAGATCATAATAATATTGATCATAATAATACCAATTTTATTTTATATAACTTACAGAACGTATGACAGCACTCCGACGGCCCACATATCAGTGTAGAAGCCCACGGGTTCTCTTTCAACGATCTCTGGAGCAGCAAATTCAGCTGTACCGGTAGAAATCTTCACCACTTCGTTGGGATCTAACTTGGTGGCCAAGCCAAAGTCGATAATCTGGAAGAATATCATTGATTTAGAATGTATTTCGTGAAATTGCTTTTTTAGTATATGAGATAAGTTTGGTTTCTCTTCCAGTGGAAACTTTTCGTATGTGTATATTTTTACATTTTACTTTCCTCCAATGGAAAGAAGTTTAAATACTACTTCTAAAATATACATCATATGTACTAAAATATACATCAAATGACAAGAAAAATAATGCTTATGTGTACCATCTATTTTTCAAAAATCTTAAGAAACAGGTCCAAAATGTAACAAAAAATATTTCAATATCATTACCTTAACATCAGTACCGGTTCGTGTAGTACACATCACGTTCTCTGGCTTGAGATCCAAGTGGAGTATATTCTGTTCATGCATGTGTCTTACTCCTTCACAAACTTGTCTCATGTAGTGAGCTGCTTCAGCCTCACTCATACTGTAGCCAGGCTCCGTGATACGCTCAAATAATTCGCCGCCAGACAAACTAGAGGAAAAAGAAATTATATATGAAATGTTTTGTAAATCTTGCCTTTTTATGTTACAGGACTATGAAGCGACTAGTCATGTAGTTACTGTCGCTTATGACATGAGAAAAATGAAGAAATGAGAGGATCCTTATCATATTTTTTAGGATATGTGTACAGGTAATTCATACAGAAAAGTCAAATGTTATATGTACCTGACCAAAACTTATATATTTGAATATCTCTTTGGTCATTTTATCGATTACGAATTGTCTCTCAAATCTTATATTATTTCATTCCAAACTGCAAATATTTTTTTTTGAAAATGGAAGAGATTTGTATTAACAGTACCTATACACTTGTATAAGTATTTTTTTTTAAATAAAAAGTCCATGGACTCACAATTCGAATATCAGAACCATTTCATCGTCATCTTCAAACGCGTCGTGAAGGTTGATGAGTTTCCTGTGGTGTAGTTGGTTCATAATATCAATTTCCTTCTTAATAAGTTCTTTTTCCATCGCACCTGATACAGGTATGAATTTGGCAGCGAAGATGTTACCGGTTGCCCTCTCTCTGCAGCGATGTACAACACCAAACGCGCCTGTGCCTACAACAGTATTTGTACCTTATGTGAATTGTGGTTTTTTGTACATGATGAGCTCATAATTACTATAGCGCCAAAATCTTACTTATAAATTCTATTGCAAATATATAATCACTCTTCATAATTAGGTGACGAAGATGATTCTTGTGAAAAGCTAATTGCTTGTGTTACATATAAAATACTTATAAATATTGCGCTGATAATAATAGATTTTTAATATAGTGTAAATATATAAAATCTCATTATAAAGCGCAAACCGTGCATTGAAAGACTAATAGTACAAATATGTATACATATATTTTTAAGTCCGATTGTGTGAATATATAAAAAATATTTGTTTATTATGTGCATACGATTATTATAAATATTATTCTATAATTCAATAATTTTATATATATTTAAGAAAATATGACAATCGTAATAGGAATATTATGACCATCCAAAAAGCTTTTAGATTTGATTTGCATAAGTTTTACGACACGAGTCGATTTTATATTCCTCTATTGTTATTTTTAATATGTGTCTTCTAAACGATTGTCATAATATTTTATTATATAACATATAATATATAGTATATAATATACGTGTGAGAGAGATGCAGATAGAAAGAGATGCACTACATCTATCACACACAGACCTCTGGGGGGTTTCCGTTTGGCTCTCACGAAGTCACCTGCGAAATTCGACATTGTTTCAATCTAATATAAGGTTCAATATTGAACTGCTACTGTTAGTCTGTTAAGTCTACCTCCCAAGCAACTTCGTGTGAGTTTATGTCTACGCTTTACCAGCATGCTTGTGTGTGTGATTTAACCGTTTTAGTTTAAATTATTTATATTTATGATTGTGTGCGCCTTTTAAACGTTTTTTTAGTCTATATTTGAATATTATTAAAAGTAAAGTCTTAATAAATTTTTTTAAATGTATTTTTAAACTATTACTAGTCAGTGCTTTTGTTAAATACAAACTACTTTTTCTACATTTCTTGCTACTTTTTCTACAACTTACGGCGATTCATTCTTAACTCTATGGTCTTAATGTAATCTAGATTTTAAACTTTTCTCTAACTTATTGTTACTTACCGTTCTAAACTGTCCAAATATGAGAAGTGAGCATGAACACAAAAGTTATAAATGTGAAAACCAATTTACATTTTTAATATCTAATATTAGTAACAGAAAACTGTCCTCCTAAAATGACAGTAGATATTCTTATAAATGTCACGATTTTTTGAACTAAATAAAAAAAACCGCATAATTTGTTGAACAAAATAAAGCCAAAATCCACTATTTATAAGGGCACCTGCAAACTTACCAATCTCCTCCAAAATATCATACTTGTCATATACAGAGCAAGTACGAATCTCCACGGGCTGTGGCACGTATTTGCTGTAGATGTCAAAGACGTAGCTGTCGTAATCCTTAACTGGACCATGATCGGCGTTGGTGCGGATGCGTTTGCCGGTTTCGTCAACTGGAATAATTAATTTATTACATTTATTTATGGCGATCGTTAGATATTTTCCTTGATCATTAATAATTAATCAGTCATTGGACGATTTACAGGAAGATCAAGTTTAAGGTTGGGATAATTGGGAACGATTTAGGTGAAATTTCAAAAATTTTTACATACCCCTATTTGGTTGGTTCAAATTGTGGACAAAGTTGTATTAAATAACGAGTAGAATTAAAATAAAGTTGAATATCATCACAAACCTGGATATTCCTTCTTCTTGAACTCTTTCTTGACAATTGCCTTGGTTTGTACCAAGCTAGTGGGCTCACTGGGTTCAGACCTTCCGTAGATATTCTCAGCGTACACTCTGAACTCGTACTGCTTGCCCGCTGCCAAACCGGTTATGGCCATGGTTGTGAACCTGATAAATATAGGTATTCAGATATAGTTCAAATAATCTTCATATAACATTTTGGATTACAAAAATGCTATGAAATCATCATGGATTATGAATGCTAGTTTTCTGTTTTTAATTCCGATTTCCTCTTAAATAGATATGTCATCATCTAAAAAAACAAAAATAATCGTTGCTACTTTATCTAGATTTTAACAAATTATTGTCCTCATTATGGCCAACAAGTAATTAGTCTTTAAATATTTACGCAGTATAAAACTGCATATTCTTTGGTAAATGAAAGTTACCTGGTATTTCCAACTCTTATCCAGCTTGACATGGGATGTTCCCTCTTCTCCACCAGGTAGTTCGTGATATCTGAACCGCCATCCCAAACAGGCGCCTTCCAGGACAAAGCCAGCGATTCAACGCCAATATTGTCAACAGCTGGGAATCGTGGTGGATCAGGACGGTCTAAAAGATGATACAAAAATGTTTATAAACTATTGCTTAACACAAAAATGTTTGTCAAAAGCTTTCTGTTTTATGGGTTTACTATCGACAGAATGTCATATAGACTTTATACAATTCCAATACAAAAAGAGTGTTTATAACGAGATTATAATTCCGTTTAGAAATTTCATGATGTATTGAAAACAATAAGATTGTCTATCATTGTAAAAAGTGCTTGTTTCAAAGTGTTTTTTTGGATTATTAATAAAATATTAAGTATACCGCTTATTTCAATATTAATGGTCGCAGAATCTTGGCCGAGTTCGTTCTCAGCCGTGATCCTATACGGTCCAGAGTCCATCTTACTGGCGTCACGGATAGTCAAAATAGCGTGACGTTCTGTAAAAAGATAATTTTATTAAAATGATAAAAAGATTAATAGGACGATGGATAAGTATCATTTTATTTTCTTTAGTATACTTCGTCAGATGATCGTCTCTCTAGTTTTTGATTACAAGTTTGAGATATTAAAAATACAACATATTATATTCTGATAGTATCGATAGTATACCACAGAGACTATGTATTCTAACAAAAATTTATTAATAGAACTAAATGTGTTACACATATCAAATTAACTGATACAATTTTATTCAGAATTACTATGGATAATGTTTTATTTATTATTGTTACGCTATTTTTGGGTTCTCTATATATCTTACATTAATATTATGAAGTACGTAATTCTTACCTTTCCTCTCAACATGATAGTGTAATCCTGACTCAATAGTCTCTCCTTCTCTCACCCACGTGATCTTTGGTACAGGATGTCCAGTGAAAGGTATTTTGATAACAACATTCTCGCCTTTGTCGAAGTATGCAGTGTCACGGAAACGAGGTGGTACGTTCAGTTTTGGAGCAGCTAAAAAAGTTGAATAAAAATAGATTTTAATACTCTTATCATGAGGACAACTCAATATTGGGATAATGTAATATGGGTTTCAAAAACAACACTTGTCTCAGTAAAGTTAACTTATATATTAATTCATACTTCCCATATCAACATGAGGAAACCTCTTCATTTTTTATAGTTTTAAATACTGTTAAAAAATTGGCTTTCCAATACAATTACTATTCCAGTAATTATCTCTTCACAGTTGATCTAGAATGCAGAAATACTTACTCATAATGAGCAGTTCTGCCCTGGTACTCTTTGCACCGGCTTTATTAACTGCTCTGCAAACATACTCATCAGCATCTTCCCCGAACACATCCATGACAGTCAAGAAGTGATTATCACCCTCACTCCAGATACGGTGACGAGGACCATTCGTTATTTCCCTGGCGCCTGGAATTTATTTCATTGAGTTTAATAATGAGTTCTTATAACAATATTACTTTTTGTGGAGTCTTTAACCAATAATTCTCATTATAAAATGAACACTGTAAAGGATCATTAAATTTCTTAATCTCTTATTATGAAATTTATAGAATATAATTTAAAACTTTGCTTAGAGATGATCGAGGGTCTGAGGGACGCAGTTACTCTTTTAGGACAGCTTGGAGAATTTTCTTTAACATATTACACATCAGATATAAACCATAATACTGACCCTTATACCACGAGATCGTAGGTTTAGGTACTCCAGTGATTGTGCACGTGAATTTGGCATTGTGGTACTGGATGCAGTTGGCATTACGCAGAGGCTTAACAATCTCAGGTGGTGTGGCAGCTGAAAAATAATATAAAAAAGGATGACAAAATATATTTCGAAGACTAAGGCAGTGTATGAATAGCAATAATATAGGGATTCAAATTACCTTTAGGATCAACGACCTTGACCTGTTGGCTGTTGGTGCTGGGAGGTGATAAGCCAGCCTCATTCTGAGCCACGACTCTAAACTCATACTGACGGCCTTCGATGAGATTGGCGCAGTTGAGCTGTGTTGGTACACAGAGGGTTGGATTTACACGCTGCCAGCTGGACGAACCAACTTCGCGTTTGTCTACCCAATAACCTGGATAAAAATTGAAAATAGTACATAATTTAGATACCATTTGGATTAGATAAAACAGTAACAATTATGCAAAGGTTAACTTGATGTATCTATATTCAATGTTTGAAAGAAATCTCTCGTCTAGAAGCAATTGTTTTTGAAATAATAAAATTGATATAAAACATTAAATTCTGATTTATTTACCTTGTACTCTAGCGCCTCCATCGTTTTCGGGTTTCTCCCATTCCAGATGAACAAAGTGTCCTCCCACTTCCACGATCTTAGGAATGCCAGGAGCAGATGGTGGATCATAGGGTGCTTTGGCCTAGATGAAATAATATTATTAGAAAGTTGTGTTAAAGAAAAGGTAAATATATTTCCATACCCATTGAGTCATTTTACCTTAATAGGATTAACACCTTCCAAGCCAGGTCCAATACCGTTATCGTTAGCGGCGTGAATCCTAAAGTTGTACTCTTGGCCTTCAGTGAGACCATGGACTGTGAACTTAGTCTCTCTAACCGAAGAAGCAATTGTTATCCAAGTGGTGCCAGACATATCCATTCTTTCCACAACATAGTGAGTGATGGGTAATCCACCATCGTATGCTGGTGGCTTCCAAGCAAGAGTGCAGGTGTGTCTTGATATGTCTGTTGCTTCCAGAGGTCCTTGTGGTGGTCCGGGCAAACCGGTAACGGTTATTGAGAAGGTGTCGGAAATCTCACCCGAATTGTTTTTGATTGTTATCTTATAGGATCCTAGAAAATATGTTTCAGTATAAATATATTTATATATTTCACGACACACTTTTTATAACATTTTATAACAATACTCACCCATATCATCCTTAGTGACGTCTTTTATAAAGATTAGAATATAATCATCAAATACTGTGAACTTGAAATGCGGTGACTCAGACAGTTTGTGGCCATCTCTGGAGATAGTAACATCTGCGGGCTGATCTCCCGTGTATAGTATCTTGATCTTCGTGTTTTCGTGTTCAGGAAGGTGCATATCACCTGGCATGCGAATGATGCGTGGAGGATCTGAAAATAGAAGTGATTAGATGTGTTCAAAATGTAGTGGTTACATTAAAAATCTTCTGCAACCTCTTATAGAACTTACTGCCAATCTTAAGATGGGCCGTGCAGTAGATGTGTCCCAGATTGTTGCTGGCTTCACAGCTGTAATCACCCTCATCAGCATCCGTGGCTTCCAGAATATTCAACTTCAGAGTTCCTTCACGAGACTCCGCAATAAATCTGTTTGGGTTAATACACAATAGTTTATATTTCTCTATTAATACAAGCTTTTTTCTATAATAGAAAAATATATTGTACGGGAAATGTGCTATTTAAGCCACTAACCTTGTGCCCATGACAATCTCTCGTCCATTCTTCAGCCAGCGGCCAGTGGGCACAGGACTGCCAGAAGCGACGCACTCCAGTGTGAAGGGTCTGCCCAGGGGTGCGCACATAGTAGGTGGCATCTGTTTAAGCCATTCGGGTTTCGCCCCGCCGACCTCCTCACCAGTGCGGACAGGCGTCGTGCATGTTGAAGGTTCTGATTTGCCTGCAATATAAATATAAATATCTTTATACCTATACTTGTAGAGATACCATAAATTTTTTGTCGTTAAACAAATATTACGAAGCTAGTGAAATTTTCAGAATTTTTTGTTTGACCGCGTTGACGATCTGTTTGAATTTAAATATAAATGTCGCGGAGGGCATTCAAAGTCAAATAAGGTAGTTAAACAAATAATGGTTCCTGATAGAAAAATACATTTTATTTAAGCAAAACTAGATAATTGCTATGTTTAATTGACAGTTGTCATTATGCTATACTTTCTAAGCTTACCAGCTGAGTTAACGGCGATAATCCTGAACTCATAGTCCTGTCGCTCACTGAGACTGAGCGCTGTGTAGCTTGTATCCAAAACGTTATAATCATTACATTTGAGCCATACTGAGCTACCAACTTCTCGTCTCTCAATAATATATCCGGTTATACGAGAACCTATTAACATAAACAACATTTTAGTGAAAACATTAATATTACATTGCATACATTTTTACCAACATTTTTGTATAAATTTTTACGAACCTCCATCAGATGCAGGAGCGTCCCAGGCCAAGTCGACGTAGTTTTTGCCAACGCGCAAAACGCGAGGGGAACGAGGTGCAGAAGGTGGACCAGCGCGGGCCCGCACTTTGAACGGCTGCGACGAAGCCGAATACTTACTGAACCCAGCTGCGTTTTTAGCGCGTACGCGGAATTCGTACTCGTGACCTGGCTCCAGGTTGTAGGCCTGAATTTAGGAATTTTATAATAATTATTCGTTGCTTACGATGAAGAATAGACAATTGTTAAAAATTTATCCTAGCTGATTTATCACAGAATAGAAACGAAATTAAGAATGTAATAAAAAGAAAGTTGTTGACCTTTATTATGAATAAATAATTTATTCTTTAAACCTGTTTATTTCATCCGAACAAAACTAATTCAAAACATGCCATTGGATAACATTTTCTTTAGTTAAGAAAATGACCTGACTTTTATATATATTTTGTGCTTGATAATGAAAGCTTTTTCTTTCTTTCCTATTGTCTGTTTATAAATAAAATAAATAAAATTGCCTTTATTGCTGTTTCAACTTACTACTTCTACTAATTAACTATATTTCATAATATTGTCTTATATGTATTTGTTAATCTAATCTTATATTACTTATAATTAAATTCGTTTAAAGACGTTCGGTTTAAAAAAACAGCTGGTTTTTCGACACTGTTTATAAATCATAATTAAAATTGTAGATATTAATTATACCAACTTCATACCTGGTAATTACAGTCTTTAACGAGATAGTCAGCTGCGGTCCAAATATTATCCTGGACGTCTCTGAATTCTATCTTGTAGCCTTGAATTCTGGCACCTCCATCGGAACGCGGGCGGTCCCAAACGACGGTGCCAGTTGAACCATCCCAATCGATCACACGAGGTACTCCCGGTGGATCCGGAATCGTGAATGGGAACTGAATTTTATACATCAATAATAATTAATAATGGACTGAGATATTAATGTATGTATGGGTATGATATTTTTCTAAATTCATTTTATGGAAGCTATAGTAATAATTTGTGAAAGAAATTTTAAAAACCTTGGCAGTGATGGAATCGTCCATAGTCAAAGGTTCTGATACGCCGTATTGGTTTTCGGCGCGTACTCTGAACGTGTATTTCTTATTCGGCTCCAGACCCATCACGTTGTAATGGCAGTTTCGTACAAACGATGATGCCTTGGACCAAACCTGAAGGATAAAATTAATGTTATTAAAAATTTTGAAAAAGATTTCAATTCTGTTTTATTTATGTTTAGTTTTAAAATTAATTGATTTTCTAAAAATTAGGGAAAAATTACCCCAGTGCTATCCATCTTCTCAACAATGTAATTGGTAATCGGAGATCCACCATCATCTAGTGGCGGTTTCCAAGATAATGTGCACGTGTCGGGAGTAATGTCTGATGCTTCCAATGGGCCTACCGGTGGAGACGGTTTATCTACTACCAAAACCTACAAAAGAACATAATTATTAAATTTGAAACAAATATTTTATAATTAATAATGTATGTAATGTATGTACTTACCCTGCAAGTTCCACTATCAGACCCTTCACTATTAATAAGCTGTATGGTATAAGATCCAGTGTCTGAGCGTTTAGCACAAGAGTTAAAGAACACCGTGTCGATGTCAGAGGTCACGAACCGGATGCGGTTATCCGGGAACACTTCCTCGTTGTTTATAATCCATGAAACCTGTATAAGCAAAATTTTAATATTTAAAAAATATTTATAAGATGTAACTAGAAAAGTAACCAAAACATTAAACATAAAATGCTTACCTTTGGTCTCGGATTGCCGGTGAAAGGCACGGTGATTTTGATTTCCTCTCCGGCGATGACAGTAATATCTCTAAGGCTGAGATCGCTGGTAATTTTCGGCGCGTTGGGTGGAGCACAGGCGCGGATTGCATCTGAACTTTGTGACCATGGACCTGCGCCGGCTGCATTAACTGCCGAAACACGGAACTCGTATTCGTGGTTTTCAATCAGTCCTGTAACTTTGTATGTCGTATCTGGAATGTAAGCGTGTGATGCCTTCGTCCATTTATCCTCAGTGATCAGCCTCTTCTCGAGGATGTAACCGGTAATAGGTGACCCTCCATCGTGACGTGGTTTTGTCCAGGTGACAGTGATGGATGATTCAGTTGTTTCCACAGACCTCGGCGCACCCGGAGCTCCTGGCGGATCAAATGGATGTCTGGCCCTAATCGGCTCAGTAGTTTGAGCAGGGTCGGATTGGCCGTACTGGTTCTCGGCCATAACTCTGAACTCGTAGCTCTTGCCAACAGTCAAGTTCTTTACACGTAAGAACGGTGTCGTGACATAGCCGGATACCTTTGTCCAGTTTTGTGTGCGAGCTTCTCGTTTCTCCACAACGTAATTGGTAATTTCACCACCGCCATTATCTTTGGGCGGGTTCCAGTACAAAGTGAGTGCTTCACCTTCAAATTCATCTGCACGCAAGTTTTCGGGTTTACCAGGTCTATCAAGGACGCGAACATTGATGGTGGCTGTGTCGTAACCAGATGGATTGCGTAGTTGTAAACGATACTGTCCACCATCTGATCTCTTTGCATTTTTAACAACAAGTGAAGCGGAATCAGGTGTAATTTTCTGGAATATTCTTGAATCACGTTCAACATCAAGTAAATTGTCATCTGCAAACCATGACGCTGTTGGTTGTGGGAATCCGATATAAGGCACATGGATAGAAAAGTCTTCACCCGCTCGTACCGTAATGTCTCGAACTCCGCCAAGATCCATAACAGGTTTGTTAGGTTGTTCGGCAATTTTGATATCAGCTGTTGGTTTGCTGGGTTCAGAATTACCGACATCGTTGACGGCAATGACTCTAAATTGATATTCTTCGTTTTCTTTAAGTTTAGGTACTGTATGAATCAAGCTAGGGATAGGAACATCGTTGACATCCTTCCAGTCTTTATCACCCTTAGCCTTTTGTTGAATAATGTATCCCTTGATTTTAGCTCCGCCATCACTCTTAGGAGGTCTCCATGATAATGTGACAGAGTCTTTAGTGATCCTGTCTGGTTTCGGCGCTTCAGGTGCGCTTGGCTTAAGTCGTTGTGTTTCCGCTGTAATAGGCTCTGTAGGTTTGCTGGGTTTACCTGGACCAGCCTCGTTAACTGCAATAACTCTAAACTCATAACGGTTTCCTTCGCGCAAGTCCTGCACTGTGTAACACGTGTTGGGTGTCGGGTAATTATTAACCTTAACCCAATCACCACCACGTTCTCTCTTTTCAACATAGTATCCAGTAACCGGTTTACCACCGCTATTTGCTGGTGGTTCCCATTCAAGTGAACAACTGTTAGAGCTGTAACCAGTTATCTTGGGTGTATCTGGTGCATCTGGAGGATCGAATGGTGATTTAGCGATAATAGGTTTGCTTTCTAGTGGTTCCGAAACACCGTATAAGTTTTCAGCGCGAACTCTAAATACGTATTTCTTGCCTTCTGTTAAGTTTTTAACTGTAAACGAACATTTTGGACAGAATCCAGCGACAGTTCGCCAGTCATTAACACCGAATTCAGCAACTTCAACAACGTAGCCAGTGATCTCACTACCACCGTCGTCAGAGGGTGGTTGCCAAGTTAGGCTAATAGCGTCATGAGTAACTGGTGTGCATACAAGTGGACCCCTCGGTATTCCAGGTTTGTCAACAACTATAACTTCAATATCGGCTGAATCTTTGCCGTGTTCATTTGAAGCAGTTATTGTGTATTTTCCAGCATCATCTCTAGTTGATTTTTCAATGCTAAGTTTAGTTTCCTCAGATTTTGTTTCTGCTGAGATTCTATGTGAGGGTACCAATGGTATAGATCCCTTGTTCCAAGATATAGTTGGTGTAGGAGCACCAGAAATGGGAATGTTTATATTAATAGGTTCACCAGCCCTAACCTTAATTTTACGACCAATAAGGTGATCTAACCACAGCTTAGGTTTCTCCTTCATAGGTTTGGCAATAAATACATTTGATGGATCTGATGGTTGTCCTGGTCCAGCAAGATTAACCGCAGACACACGATATTCATATTGGTGGCCTTCTTGCACTCTGTCATCCTGGTATTCATTAAATCGAACTGGTTCTCTATTCATCTTTATCCAGCGACCAGTGGCCTTATCACGTCTTTCAATATCATATCCAAGAATATTAGACCCTCCATTGGAAATCGGAGATGACCATTTAATTTTAATGTGATCTTTATCCGCAGATACCAATTCTGGCTTGCCTGGTTTTCCAGGAACTGTATATTGATTCTTTGCAATTATAGGTTTGTCAGTCACCAATGGTTCAGAACGACCCTGTAAGTTTTCTGCAAACACTCTAAATTCATACTTGGTACCTTCCGATAAACGTGGAACTGTGGCGTGATTGTATTTTGGATTTATATAAGTGACAGCTGGCACCCAGCCACCTCCGTGAGTCAAATCACGTTTTTCAATAACATATCCGGTAAGTTCACTGCCACCATTATCTTTTGGTGGTTTCCAAGACAATGTTACAGATTGGGCAGTTATCTCCTCATATTCGAATGGTGGTTGTGGAGGTCCCGGAACATCGAGAACTATTAAATCAAAGCTGCCTTCATCAGATCCTGAGTCATTCTTTAGTGACAAGTGGTATTTTCCAGCGTCCGATCGCTTGCAGTTTACAGTATGAACAATTGTATGATGACCAACTGAGGTCACAGTTGTCCTCTCGTTAGTAACCACTGGTTTACCATCACAGGTCCATTTGACTTCTGGGAATGGTTCTCCAATGAAGTCGACATCCACATGGAATATAAGGCCAGCCTTAATGCGGACTTCCTTAAGTGGAGTGATTATCTTTGGTGCAACAAATCTGTCCTTTGCTGTAATTATATCAGATGGTTCACTTGGTTCAGACTGTCCCGCTTGATTAACTGCAATTACTCTAAACTCATAATCTTGACCTTCGACGAGATCTGGTATTGTAGCTTTAGTCTGGCTAGATGGTACATTGGCTGCGTTGATCCAGTATGGACTACCTTTTTCTTTCTTTTGAACGATGTATCCTGTTATAGGAGCACCGCCATCAGATTTAGGTGCAGCCCATTTCAAGTCAACGTGGTTCTTACTCCAGTCTGTAGCTTCAGGTTTGCCCGGTGCTGACGGTTCATCAAATTCATTCTTGGCTACAATAGCGCGATCAAGTTCAAGAGGTTCAGATTGTCCGATAGCATTAACTGCGCCCACTCTAAATAGATATTCTTTCATGTGAATAAGTCTTGTAACTTGGTGCGATAGGAACGTACTCATACCAGCATCGGACCATGTGCCTCTGCTTAGATCCATTTTTTCAATAACATAATGTAAAATTGGAGATCCACCGTCGTCTAACGGTACCTTCCAGGATAGTGAGCAGGATTCTTTAGTCACATCAGAAACAACCAGTGGCTTTTCTGGCCTTGAAGGTTTATCAAGGACTGTAACTTGCGCACTTGCAGAGCAAACTCCAAGATCATTCTTAAGAGTCAGCTTATAAATGCCTCCGTCAGCACGAACAGAGAATGGTATATCAAGTATGACCCTGTTGTGTAAGACTTGAATGTCAATTCTGTCAGATGGATGTACAAGTTTACCATTAATTTGCCATTCGGCGGTCGGTTTTGGAGAGGCTTCTATCGGGATTTCGTATTGTATTCTTTGACCAGCTTTGACTGTTTTATCAGCAAGCAGCATTTTGTCAAAGGTAGGTGCACAGAATCTAGCTTTAGCCACTTGTGGTGTTGAGGCATCGGATGGTTCACCGTTTCCAGCTTTATTAACTGCAATGACCCTAAATTCATATTCTTCTCCTTCCTGGAGGCCAGGAATAGTTGCTGTTGTCTGGTTACCTGGAACTGTAGCAGCTAATTCCCATGGCCCATATTTCTTTCTAGCTTCAATTACGTAACCCGTAATCGGTGATCCTCCGTCCTTCTTTGGCGGAACCCATTCTATGTCCATGTGATCCTTATCCCAATCCTTAACAACTGGGGTGCCAGGTTTATCTGGAGTTCCGTAGGGGTCTTTGGCCGTAATTGGTTCTGATCCTACGAGGGGTTGTGATTCACCGTGTCTATTGACAGCTCGTACGCGGAAGTTGTAATCATGGCCTTCAATCAAATGGTCAATACGAATGTTGCAACCTTGTACCTCTCCTGCCGGAACCCAGCGAAGATTCTCTTGGTCCATCTTCTCGACAACATAGTGAGTAATTTCGCTACCACCATCATCTTTAGGTGGCCTCCATCTAAGTGTACAACCAGATTTGGTGATGTCATCCACCCTTAGTGGACCTTCCGGTGGCAAGGGTACATCCATTACTACAATCTTAACAGTTGCTGAATCAGTTCCATTAATATTTTTCGCCTTAAGGGTATAGGTTCCAGTATCAGCACGTTTAGCGTCAATTACCCTTATCTTTGTAGAATGAGCATCATTAACGACTTTAATCCTGTCGGTGTTAAGAACCATATTTTCTCCATGGAGCCATTCCTTGGTAGGTATGGGTTCACCCGCCACTGGTACATCGAGCTCGAAGTTTTGACCCACCTTGATTTTGATATCAAACATGAAGTTTCTGTCGATCTTTGGCGCCAGGTTCTTTGGTCTGGCAACGTGTGGAGCAGTACTGTCACTAGGAACACCTTTTCCAGCTTTATTAACAGCGCGTACGCGGAACTCGTACGTGTTGCCTTCAATGAGATCAGGTACTTTGCCTGATGTAACATCACCTTCAATCTGAAAAAAAAGTTTAGGTTTTCGTTTTACTATAAAACATATTTTAAATCATAATGACATCTGAATCTGTAAATCGAAAAGTAAAAAAAAAATTAGGAAAAGAAATAAAAATAACCTGTGCACATTCTTCCCAATCTGGTGCAAATCGGTCTTTCTTTTCGATGACATATCCTGTGATTGGTGCTCCACCATCTGATTCAGGTCGGGTCCATTCCAACTCAACGAAGTCTTTGTCGAAGTCCTTAATCTTGGGGGTACCAGGCTTGCTAGCCACATCGAACGGATTCTTAGCTTCAGTAGCGTGAGGAGTGGTTAGTGGCTCTGATTTTCCTTGCCTGTTAACCGCCCGAACTCTAAACTTGTATTTATGACCAGGCGTTAATCCGTCAACTGCTAGATTAGTTTGAGGGCCGTCAGTCTCTCCTGCTTGTACCCAGCGACCTGTAGCTTCGTCCATACGTTCAACAATGTACTTCTCAATAGGCTGTCCACCATCGTCTGCCGGAGGGTTCCATGATAGCTTAGCACCGTTAGCGTGTACGTCGGAAACCTAAAAAAACATTAATATTATTATTTCACTTCTTTCATTTTATATTTTGCGTGATAACATATAACATCAACAATATGATACAATTCAACTGACCTTAAGCGGTCCTCCCGGTGGGCTCGGCACGCTCAGTACGATAACTTCAACTTCAGCCACATCTTTGCCATTAACGTTCTCGGCGGTGATAGTATATCGGCCGCTGTCAGCCCTTGTGGCTGCTTTACAAGCAATCTTAGTGTTGTAGTCTGAATGTTGCACTTTCATGTCTCCGGAAGACTTCACTTCACGTTTACCCAGGAACCATTTTGTTTCAGGCATAGGTTCACCAGACACCTTTAAGAAAAAAGAAATTATTAATGAAATTACTCATTAGTTTTATTAGTTTCAATGTCAAAAATGTTTCTATTTATACATATATATTGAAATAATTAGACGATTTAGCAGTTTTTCACTAGGCACAGATAAGACTGTGTACGTAGAAGGTTCGGTGAGAAAATAATACCTTAAGATAGAATAAAAAATAATTAAAAAGCGGCCTCACCTTGACATCAAAGCCGAACTTCTGTCCGACCTTGATTTTGATATCAATGAGATTAGTTCTGTCGATCTTTGGTGCCATGTTTCGAGGCTTAGCAACGATGGGATGTGTGCTATCACTGGGAACACCAGGACCGGCTTTGTTCACAGCACGGACGCTATAACGACAAAAAAACATAAAACTTTGTATTTTAGATAACATTCCTTTAACACAGACAATAGAGTTTAATGTATTGAAAAGCCATATAGAAAATATTACTCTTTACCGTTATATAAAAAATAAAACAGAACCAATTCATACCGGAATTCATAAGTCTGTCCTTCCACGAGGTCCGGTACGGTGCAAGATGTTTTATCAGCAGGTACTTCAAGTGCTTTCTCCCAGTTGCCGAATTTGTCTTTCTTCTCCACGATGTATCCTTCAATAGGAGCACCGCCATCCTCCTTGGGCGGAGTCCATTTAAGGTCCACGTGATCCTTATCCCAGTCTGTAACTGATGGCGTTCCTGGTGCGCCTGTATAAAAAACATGTCAGCATTATAGGACCTTACCACACTTTTATAGTAATTTGCTGCTATTTGACATGATCCTGCTTAATGCATTTAATAAAAATAAATGTTATACAAAAATTTTAGTCTATATTAAATAGTCAGTCAGTCTATATTAAATATACAAAAAATTTAGTCTATATTAAATAGTCTTATATTCATAATAATCACATTCTCATATAAGATAACTGAAAATCAACTCACCAGGTTCGTCGAAGGGATTCTTAGCTACAATGGCTTCTTCAGATACGAGCGGTTCACTCTCTCCCTCCGAGTTAACAGCGCACACACGGAACTTGTACTCCTTGCCGGGAGTTAGACCGGTGACTTCGCATTCTAGAAGAAAATTTAATATATTTTATATTGTCAAATTTTATTTTATTCCGATCTTATAGGCATATATCAAAAATTGAGATATAGTCATATTCTAAGAAATAAATACCAAGAGTGAAAATTAATTTTGTAAGGTAATAAAAATATAATTTATTTTTAAATTAAATTGTACTAATTCGAAATCATCACGCAATGTATTGCCTTTTTTAACATAGCTGCATCAAAATTGACAGACAAATGTCTTGTCCAAATGGTTTTTATATAAATCAGTAGCAGATACATTACATATTAGAGTAATTATTATTAAATATAAACTCACTAGGCTCATCGGAGCGTGCACACGGCACCCAACAGCCTGTCTCCGTGTCCATTTTTTCCACTTGGTAATATTCCACAGGAGTACCACCATCATCCTTGGGACGCTTCCATTTCAGCGTACATCCGTCCTTGTGTACGTCGGATATCTGAAAAAGAAATGTATGAAATTATAAAAAAAATATTTGGTTTCATAGTAACAAATACGGCATTCATCTCTGCTTCACAGAAAGTATTGTTCTTGCAAACTATTTGTAAATTAAGTATATAAATCGTTACAGTTATACATATTATGTAGAATATCAGTACCTGCATGGGACCTTCGGGTTTAGATGGCTTGTCTGTGACAGTAACATTAATGGTGACGGTATCTTTGCCGCTTGAGTTAACAGCTGTCACTGTATATTCCCCAGAATCATCTCGCCTAACTGGTCTTATAGCCAGCTTAGTAAAGTAATCAGGGCTATCAATAGTCACTGCCTTTGACGGACGCAGTGGCATGTTCTGATACCTAAAAATATATGAATTTTGTTTATTAAAAAAAATTGGTATATAGCAACTCAAATACAAACTCTCTCTCCTAGATCAAATTATTTAATTACCTCCATTCAACTGCCGGAGCAGGTTCGCCAGTAATGGCAGCCTCAAGTTTAAGCGAGGACCCAGCAGATAATGTGACATCTCTAAGATGACGTCTGTCTATCTTAGGAGCCAAGAATCGTGGCTTAGCTACAAAGTTCTTGCTTGCGTCCGAAGGTTTACTTTGTCCAGCTTTATTGATAGCAATCACACGGAATTGGTACTCATTACCTTCGATTAAACTAAAATGATAAAGAATATTGGTAAGTTAGGAATTATAATGCAATAATAATAAACTGGTTTTGACATAAACTTAATATCAATATAGTCTTACCCATTAACAGTTGCGGAAGGTGTGGGTGTATGTGTCTCCACTGCCTTTTCCCACAATGGACTGTATTTGTCTTTCCTTTCAATAATATATCCAATAATAGGAGAGCCACCGTCTGATACTGGGGGCTCCCATTTGAGGTCTACATGTGTAGCCGACCAGTCGTCTGGCACTGGGGCTGATGGAGCTTCAGGTACAGCTACAAATATATCAGAATGTTAAGAAAAGTTTTCTTTTTTAATCCTAAATATTTTATTTCAAAATGCTTACTGAATGGATCTTTAGCAACAATAGATCCGAAGGTCTCCAAGGGTTCTGATTCGCCTTCCTTGTTAATAGCTTTCACTCGGAATTTATATTCATGACCCGGGATTAGACCATCCACCTAGTAAAATTTCCATTAAACAAGTATAAAAAATCGTATAAGTATGTATATAATAATTATCAACTCAAGCGGTTAGATAAAATATTGTTACATTTAACAGAGTCTTCTTCAATGAACCATTAAATAGATTGCATCTTTCATATAAGTGTTTTTTAATTTCATTCTCACCTCCATTTCAGGCACATTGCCAATTGTTTTGCCAACGGGTACCCAAGTTCCTGTTTCTGTGTCGTACTTCTCAACCTGGTAGCAGTCGATGGGTTCGCCACCATCATCCTTAGGTCTCTTCCATTTAAGAGTACATCCATCCTTGTGGATATCGGACACCTCTAGCGGACCTTCGGGCTTTTCTGGTTTCGCTGAAAATGAAAAAAATTTTAGGTATTATTAAATATCTCCTAATATTAATTAATCATATACACTGAAAGCACTTATGAAAATCTTAAAATAATAATATTTAATTCAATGATAACTCACAAGTGACTGTAATATCCAATTCTGCAGTATCACTGCCGTATTTGTTGATGGCCTGAATCTTGTATATTCCAGAATCCTTACGCCTAGGACTTGAATTCTGGTACTTGCTGAGATATGGCACATTCACCACTGAAAAGAAAATATGAATTTGGAGTTTATCATCAATATTTTAGGAAAATGTGCTAGTATAAAAAATAAAACAAAATACTAACACTTGAGTGCGCCGCTACTAGTAACGCTCTTGCCGTTAAGCGACCAAGTGACTTCAGGGGCAGGTTCACCACTAACTTTAACATCGAGTGCGATAGGCTCTCCCTCACGAACCTTAATAGGTCGAAGATTGCGACGATCGATCTTTGGAGCCACTGGGAAAGAAAATTTATTGATAGATATTAAATATGCATAAAGAAATTAAATACATTGTTGTCTATATCTCGATTATTTTATATTGTGATATGTTGTGATATGTTGTCTATATCACAATATTCTTAAGAATCTCACTGGCTTACCGGCCCGTAACTAAATTAATAAAGAGGTGATACACTACAATAGATAAATGTTGAATAAATCGCGGGGAAAATAATAAGTATGTATACTCACATCTTCTTGGCTTGCAAGTGACTGACTTGCTAGCGTCGCTTGGTTCACCGGGGCCTGCTTCGTTCACAGCCTTCACTCTAAATTCATACTCTGTACCTTCATCCAGGTTTGGAACTGTGGCTTTCTCATTGTCGTTAGGACCAACCTGAAAACATTTATATACTCTTAATCGTGAGTTATATTATGAATGATATATATTCAAACTTAATAATCAGAAAGGAGATGTAAATAAGTGTCATGAGTCATATTATTAATAAAATTTAATTAAACTTAGTAATCAGTACGAAGATTTAAACAAAATTGAAATTACTTTATATCAATAACACGTCAAAACAATTTTGTTTTAAATTGAATTTGATATTTTCCTTACCTCACAGGCTTTAACCCACTTGGTAGACCCAACTTCTCTCTTTTCAATTATGTATCCCGTGATGGGTGCACCGCCATCCTTAATGGGTTTGGACCACTTGAGATCCACGTGATCCTTATCCCAGTCCAAGACTTCTGGTGTTCCAGGTTTGCCGGGCTCATCTGGTGATTTATAACAATAGTTAATAATACCGATAAGATTGTTATAACACCAAATTATTACAAAATATTTGGCACGACTTAGAAATTTTAGTTAAACTTGTATAAGGTATTTTAGTATAATAAAAAAATCTTTGAAACATATAATTGACCTTATATATTATAATAGGCTACTTACCAAATGGATTCTTGGCAATAATTGAGTGATCACCCTCCAATGGCTCAGAAACACCCTCGTTATTAACTGCGGATACTCTGAACTTGTATTCATGGCCAGGAACAAGATTCTCTATTTCGGCTTTAGGATCCTTCGTCTTGAGTGCTGGAAGCCATCTGCCGGTTTCTGTGTCTAATTTCTCAACAAGGTAATGATCGATAGGCGCACCACCGTCATCTAGCGGTGGGTTCCATTTCAGGGTACAACCTTCTTTGTGTACATCAGATATCTAGAGAATAAATTAGTATAATTAATATATTAGTATACTTAAAACAAAATCACATTATTTTATGTAATAATCAAATAGTCAACTTGTCAGTAATTACACAAGTACTGTTCTTGTTAACTAAGCAAGGTATATGTTTTCTTAAAGAATGCTAGGTTTACATCCAGAAGATTGCAACTTAATGACACTCTGTTTAGCTTAGATTTTATTTTGTATGCACTAGTTGTAAGTCAGTTTTGTAAACTTAAATAAAAGAAAATATCTACTACCTAGAAAAAAAAGTATATTTACATACCTTCAAAGGTCCCTCTGGCTTATCGGGCACATCTAGAACGTTAATTGTAATAGTGGCTTCATCTCTGCCGCTGCTGTTCTCAGCCTTTAGAACATAAGTTCCACTGTGCTTGCGGCTGGCGACCACTACTGATAGCTTCGTTCTATAGTCTTCGACATCAACAGAAAGGTCCTCCCGAGTGGAAAGACGCTCTTTGTTTTGGAACCTGGAGTGAAGAACCCATGTTAAATGGAATGTTTCTATTCTTGTAATGGTAGTGTTGTTTTAATTATGTATATTACATAAATATGACAAAAATGAAATCAAAATTAGCATAAATAAAAAAATGTCTGCTATAAATTTTGTATTTAAAACTTATTCAGATTAAATCACTTAATATTTTAGAAAATATTAAATAATACAAAAATGGGAATTCTCATATTAACTCTACTATGTTACAATATACGCACCAAGTTTTAGTTGGTGGCGGTTCTCCGGACACCTTGACGTCAAGTCGAATGTTCTGGCCAGCCTTCAGTGTCATATCACGCATGTTGGTGCGGTCGATCTTTGGCGGAGCTAATTAGAATAAAAAATATGTTAAATATTGCCCCTTCAAGACGAAAGCTTTTTCACCCTACTTGTTATATTACTTTTTAAATAATAAATATTCTGGTATTGAATAAATTCTCATAAATATATTATTATTCCAACCTGATAAATTACTCACCAAATCTATCCTTAGCTAACAGACTCTCAGAGGCCGCAGAAGGTTTTCCTGGGCCAGCCTTATTGACTGCCTTTACGCGGAACTGATACGTCTTTCCTTCTATCAAATCTGGGATACGTGCCTCAGTTTTGTTGCCGGGAACCTTGAGAAATATCATTGTTATGGTTTAATATATTTCTGAAGTTATTATATCATTCAATCTCTTAAAAACAAACGTATGTTATAATCTAAGTTGTCAAAGTCTTAAAGTTATTGCAAAGCTTCATACACTAATAATACTCACATCCGCTGCTTTAACCCATTTTCCAGTGTCGCGATCCTTCTTCTCAACGATATAAGCAGTAATAGGAGCCCCACCATCATTAGGAGGTTTCTCCCACTTAAGGTCTACGTGGTTCGCGCTCCAGTCCTTGAATTCAGGCTTACCAGGTGGATCAGGTTCACCTAAAAGCATTCATAAAAATATTAATATACCTTTATTAAGTTTTTACTCAGAAGTTTACATTGGAATATGTCTTAATTTAATTGTATGGTATAAACACTTCTAGAAGCTTACCATATGGATTCTTAGCAGTTGTAGCAGTTTCAGTCACCAGAGGTTCACTCTCGCCCTCAGGATTAACAGCCTTGACTCTAAACATATAATCTTTGCCCTCATTCAATCCAGTGACATCCGCTTCTGGTGTCTTTGTAGTGCACACAGGCACCCATCTTCCAGAGTCTGTATCCATTCGTTCAACCACATAGCTCTCAACTGGTTCACCACCATCATCTTCTGGTGGCTCCCATTTCAATTTACAGCTGTCAGCTTTGACGTCGGATACCTAAATAATTATAAAAATTAGTAAAGAGCTTTGAATGTTTTATAATTCTTATGCATTTATTAAAGAAGCGTCTCAAATCAAAACTAACCTTCAGAGGTCCTTTCGGCTTAGCCGGTTTACTGACAACTGTTATATCAATCTCAACAGTATCAGTTCCGGAGTCATTCTTAGCCGTCACGACGTATTTACCACCATCATCTCTTGTACACTTTTGCAGTACAAATGAAGTGTGGTAATCAACATTCTCGATCTTAAGGCGTTCATGAGACTTGAGAGTCTGATCCTTAAAGGTCCATGTGATGGTCGGTTCGGGTTCACCCTTGACATCAGCTTCCAATTTGAGTACGGAGCCCACCTTGACTTTGCGACTTTGCAAGTATTTGCGATCGATTTTAGGTGCCACTGTAATTATAATGAAAAGAATTATAATTATAACAATAAAAAAACTGTAAGAGTCTTGAAACTGGTTTTTATTTGAAGAAAGTGATTTATTACAAATGATAAAATAATGATAAGTGTTGTCAGAAACGAAAAAGGTGCTAAAATTACATCTAAACTAGACATTTCATACTAAAACAAATCTAAAAAATTTAATATTCGAGTTTTTCCAGAAAGCAGTCTTTAAAACAATGACGGTATATTCAAATCCTAAATATTAAGTCGGTTAAATTTTTTGTAGTATACTCACAAAATCTGGGTTTAGCAATCACGTTCTTGCTAGGTTCACTAGGCTCACTCTGACCAGCTTTGTTAAGAGCTATCACTCGGAACTGGTATTCATGTCCTTCCTCAACGTCCTCAACGCGTCCTACCGGTCGCTCACCAGACGTGCGGAGACAGTCCTGCCAGGTTCTATAAGAAAATGAGGATATTTTTTAGCGTATGATCATAACTCACCTGATATAGCTTCATAGTTATTGATTTAAAATAGTGTGAAGAATATGTTGTTTATAAATAATGGTTGAATTAATTTTTAATTAAATCTTATTTTTTACGAAGTAACAATGTTAAGTAACGTAAGATAAGAAAAAAATCGATTTCCTTGGTTATAAAGGATAACAAATATAAACGATTAGAATATTTTAAATATTAAATTCGACTACCCACCTGCCGCCCTTCTCTCTCTTCTGTATTATATAGCCGGTGATAGGAGCACCTCCGTCATCCTTTGGTGGTGACCACTCCAGCTCCACAAAGTCTTTGTCCCAGTTCCTTGGCTCTGGGCGACCAGGTTTTCCGGGCTCGTCTAGAAAATATAGTTTATTTAAGTATATAAAAATCTTTTTTGAAGCCATTAATTTCATGTTTAGGATATAATAATAATAAATAAACTTTATTGAAAAAACACAATGCTTACATAATAATAGATTAACATATAATGATACAATTAATCTTCTTAAACTTAAACTATTACAATATTTTCCATTGGTTGAGGTGCATTATGCTTTAGCAAATTTTGATTAATTATCTTTGGACCCCACACTAGAGAGACCTGTATCGTGGGGTCCGAAAATTTAAAATTTTTAAATTTTAAAATTAAGTAATAAGATACTCACCAAATGGATTCTTGGCAATAATAGGCTTTTCTGTTTCCAACTCTTCAGACTCTCCTTCTTTATTTACGGCTTTCACTCTAAATTTATAAGGTTTTCCCTCTTGCAGACCAGTCACGTTGGCTTTACAATCCTTCGATGTACCGCAAGGCAACCATTGACCTGTACAGATATATTCATTAAAAATTAATTCATTAAAAATATATTCATTAAAAAGCCATTAATATAAAAATCCAGTAATAATAAATCTTGGATCAGGCATCAGAAAAATATTAGTTTCATATACATATAGTTTACTATGTTTTATCTACAGAACTAAAGCTATAATAAAATATTAAATTTTTTCCTTTGATATAGAAGTTTATGTCATTGATTAATGTAACTAAGACTTCTTATATAACAAAAATATCAAAGAATAATTTAATAAAATGTACCAGTGAGAGGATCAAGTTTTTCAATCTCGTAGTATTCAATGGGCGATCCGCCGTCGTCTTCTGGCTTCTGCCATGACAAGCTGCAGCTGTTCTTGGTGACATCAGCTACTTCCAATGGTCCCTTGGGTTTGGATGGCTTGCCTGTAAAGTATTGAAATTACAGATCTGTTAGAGTGCCCCGAAGGGATATGATTGCGAAAAAATATGGGGGGGGGAGATTATGAATGAATAGATTATTCTACTCATTCATATTAATAAAAATTATTAATATAATTAAATAATTTATCCCATTTTTTATATGAAGAATAACCCCTTTATATTTTACTTGTATTTGTAACAAAATAACGTATTTAGTAAATTAATATTTGTTACTTGAATTATAAGACTAGTCCGATTTTTAAGCCAAATCTAAAAAAAGAAACAGGGTTATCCGTCCATCTAGATATTATATAAATAATACATACTAAGCACGCTAATCTCCACTTCAGCCTCATCTTCTCCCACTTCATTCTTTGCTTTAATTACATATTTTCCACTGTTGATTCTCTTTGTTTTCATCATGAGGAACTTGGTATTATAATCTACATTGATGATCTCAAGATTCTCTCGATTGCTGAGCTCTTGGCCTTGGAAGTACCATGTCACAGTGGCTGGCGGCTCTCCAAAGACTTTGACGTCCAAAGATACAGGTAGACCAGCCTTCACAGTGATAGGGTTCAAGTTAGTCCTGTCGATTCTTGGTTTCACTGTTAAATAAATATAATTTCATATTAATAACATTGCTCCTACAATAATATTACTTTTGAGAGCATTAAAATAAATTATATTCTTAGAAAGTGTAAAAGTACTAACAGAATCTAGGTTTAGCAGTATGCCAGTTGGTGTTTTCAGAAGGCTCAGATTGTCCGGCTTTATTGAGAGCTCGTACACGGAATTGGTACTGATTGCCTTCCTCCAACTTTGGTACAGTTCCTTGGCAGACGTTTCCGTGGACTTCGGCAGCCTAAATTAATAATAATTATTACTACAACGATCTATATAAAATAGCATACAACAAAAGTAGAAGTAAACATACTTTGACGAATTCTCCTCTATCTCTGTCCATAACTTCGATAATATATCCAGTAATGGGAGCACCATTATCCCTATAAGGTGGTTCCCATTTAAGTTTCGCTGATTTCTCATCCCAGTCTACAATTTCTGGTAGACCAGGTGGAGCTGGTACATCGTAAGGGTTCTTGGCAAGAATGCCGTGATCTGTCTCCAATGGTTCAGACTCACCCTCCTCATTTAATGCCTTCACGCGAAACTGGTAAGTGTGACCAGGTTCGAGGCCTGTAAAAATTTACATTGAAATTAGAATCACTCTATTACTAGATAGATAATGTTTGACATACATACAAAGCCTAAAATAGGCAGAGATTATATAAAAAGCACGATTTAAAAAAGTCAATAACAAAATATATAAATTAACATTTTATAGACGGAGCAATATACAAATCTCTATTTCTTATCCACAATATATTACACTCTTACCTGTAACAGTTGCCTCGGTGACGTCAGGATCAATAGTACCAGCCGGAGTCCACTTGCCGGTGGTGACATCCATTTTCTCAACCACGTAAGCACTAAGTGGTAGCCCACCAGTGTGCTTGGGTTTGTTCCATGACAATTTAACGTGCTCTGCGTGTACATCGGACACTTCGAGAGGTCCTTCTGGTTTGCCTGGCTTATCTGAAAAATATAATCAAATGTTATCACTTTGATTCTTATATAGTAATATTTTATAAACTTTTTGTATTTGATAAGAAAAAAAATGGTCAAATTTTCAGTATTATCATATCAAAATATTTATGAATCAATTAAGCTTTTTTACATACCAAGAACAGTAATCTCAACAGTGGCTTCATCTACTCCGGAGTCATTGACAGCCTTCAGTGTGTAGATGCCAGAATTCTTCCAGGATGATTCGAAGATTTGCAACTTAGTGTTGTAATCCTCGTTTTCCAATTTGTATCCTGGTCCGGTCTCAATGACCTGAATGAACATTGAAGCGGAATTTAGTTAAATGATCAAATTAATTTGAAAGGAAATGTAGATACTTTAAAAGGTAAAAATAATAGCCAGTGGTCAAACCTTATTGGCAAAGGTCCAGGTCTTGGACGGTGGGGGTTCACCCTTGATGTCAACGTCGAGTTTGATAGTGGTACCTGCTCGCACTCTGATTGCAACCATCTTATCGCGATTAATGTATGGTTTCACTGGAAAAAATATATGACATAGTTATAAAAAAACTTATTAATTACTAATTTACCAATACCGAAAAATTATATTTCAGGGTTTGATAACGTTTTGATACTCTTGAATTTCTAAGTAAAATAACAGTAAAATTCTTGTGTATGTAATTTACCAGTAAAATTATTGTATATGCAATAAGTATATCATTATTCTTACAGAATCTGGCTTTGGCGACATGTGGCTGAGTTGGTTCGGAAGGTTCTCCCGGACCGGCTTTGTTGACAGCTTTCACACGGAACTGGTATGTATTGCCTTCTTTTAGGTCTGGTACACGAGCTTTGCATTCTGGCGTCTGTTTGTAAAGAAATAAATTAGTTATCTATTAAAAATTAAAACTTATACTTTTCAATTGATAGACTACATGTGTCATTAGGCTGGTGACGTGTAAAAAGAATTTGTTTTCTCCAAAAAAAATTAACTAACGTAATAATAAACATTTTACTTCTTTTATTTTGAAATATGAACTAGTTTCTGTTCTAATGGATGTGTTCAAATAATGTGTTCATTTTCATACTTATATAAAATACATCTCCTTTTGCACACAATAAAAAAATAATAACTCAATTGAGACCTTCTATAATGAAAGAACATGTGTTATTGTAGAAGTTTAACTATACCGTTGTAACAAGCGCCTCTTGCCAGTGTCCAAACTTATCTTTCTTCTCAATTATGTAGCCAGTAATGGGTGCTCCTCCTGTGTTCTTGGGTGCCTCCCATTTAAGGTCTACGCGATCAACGTCCCAGTCTTCGATAGTTGGCACTGATGGTTTGCCAGGTATGTCTGAAAAATAGTGATACACTTATCATTGAATATCTTCAAAATTAGTAGTTTATTTTAATAACATTGTTTAATAACAGTATTTCTACAGTTTTCTCTGCTATAAAGGTTGCGATAACTTGTGTATATCTGGGGTTTTTCTAGATAATCAAATCTAGGAGTAAGCTTTTGCTTTTGGCTAACTCTAGTATCAAACATAACATTTGAAAGATATGGCTTGAGAATAAAATATTTAAGATCGTGGTAATTTTCTTTGCTTTCGAGCTGATACTGTATGACTGTTATTTTTTCTTTGGTAAGTGGAAATGATGCCATAGTTTGTGAACGCACTATGTTAATAACAACCTATTTACTCTTCTATTGAAGACATTCAAATTGTAAGCGGAGAGAACACTAACGAATTTATATACGAAGGCAACGTATTTTTTCCAAAGTGAATTGCGAGATATCTTACCATAGGGATTCTTAGCAATGATAGAGTGGTCCGTCTTCAACGGTTCAGACTCTCCTTCATCGTTGACAGCCCTGACTCTAAATTCATATTCTTCTCCCTCCTGCAAGCCTTTGATTTCCATTTCAGTGTCATCTGTCTTGCCAACAGGTACCCATCTGCCTGTAGCTTTGTTTAGTTTTTCCACTACGTAGCCAGTTACTGGTTTACCTGAAAATATATTTTATGGTTTATACTCTTTGATCATTTCTTGATTTATAGATTGATAGCAAAGTATTGACGACCCTTATTTTACGTACCACCATCGTCCTCTGGCTTCTTCCAAGCCAGTTTGCACCCGTTCTTGGTGACATCTGTAACTTTGAGTGGACCTCCAGGTTTTCCCGGAGCTGATAGTACAGTGATCTCTACTTCAGCCTCGTCCTTGCCATGTTCGTTGGTGGCCAGGATCCTATAAGTGCCTGTCATAGCACGAACTGCTTCTTTGACGTCTAACTTGGTGTTGTAGTCCACATTGATGACGTTTTCTGTGACCTGATGAATAACAAGGTGATTGAGTAAAAAATGAAACTATAATACGGTATATCAAATAATAACAACACCAGATAAATTATGTATAATTCAATTTTCCAAAACTTATAACACAAAACAATACTTACTTCGTTTTCTTCGTTCTTCCATTTACGGAACCATTGCACCTTCGGCGCGGGTTCACCCTTTACGTTCACGTCGAAGAAGATAGGCTTTCCGGCGCGTACAGCAAGAGCCTTGAGGTTTGTGCGATCGATACGAGGTTTCACTGAAATGTCACATTTATTGAGATATGTTAGAAATTATAAAAGCAAATAAAAACAGTATTTTTGCCCATTTGAATCGTCCTTTCTGCACGTAAATTTTAGGCAGGTATGTAAGGGTAAGTATAATTGTACTCACAAGCCTTATGTCTGATTGTGGTCATCTTGGTTGGTTCTGATGGCTCTGATTGACCGGCCTTGTTGACAGCGATCACTCGGAATTCATACTCGCTACCTTCAGGTAATCCATCTACCTTAGCACTAGTAGCGCTACCAGGAACCTAATGAATTGATGATATTTATTTTAACTTTATTGCAAAAAGGAAACTTAATTAATAAAAATAAATATTAAATTAAAACTATCGCTATCAAAATTTATAATTCATTTCTCATTTCAAAACAGCTTTGAAAGTGTTAACTCAAATAGTTGGATTTTTTGACAATCTATTCTTGATTAGCGGCAATTTTCATGAAGCGTGTTCATAAGATATCACAAACCTCGCCAGCGTTCTCCCAATCTCCACCCTTAGGTCTTTTCTGGATGACGTATTTAAGAACTGGCGCACCACCATCTGACGCTGGTGGCTCCCAAGCAACTGTGGCACTTTGGTTGTCGTGGTCTGCCACGCGTACATTACCAGGCTTGTCGGATACATCTGGATAATAAATTGTAAGATTAATATCCACCATATAAAAATAAAGTTATTTACATTTACTATCGAATAAGTTTTTCACTGTACATATTTCGAAAATATATGGGATTCGTGAAATTATTTAATTTTATTTATTCATAACTGACACGTTACTTTAAGTAGTAAAAAATATGTGTTATTTTAAGTTTAGTTACATGATTTTCCATCTACAATAATAAATACATATGTATGTATACTTTAAATTAGACTTTGAAATATTTCCATAATACTATATCAGCAAGGGTATCGACACGAATATCAATAAATTAATACTATGCCTCTGTTTAAATGTTTATTCTGTTTATTCCAATTTATTTGTAATTTTTACAATTCCACTTTGCAACAAATAGAATTCAGTGGAACTACAGTTGTGATCTAACAACAATTGTATGTGCAGCCTTACCGAACGGATTCTTTGCGAGTATAGCCTTTTCAGTCTCCAAAGGTTCAGAGTCACCTTCGTCATTTACAGCTGTAACTCTAAACTTGTACTGGTGACCTGGTTCAAGACCTGTCACTTCTAATTCCAGCGGCTTCTTATCTCCAGCCACTCTGCGTTATAGGATATAAAGGTTAGTGCTCATGATAATGTTTAAATCACAATAACAGTATAGACGTGATAGAAAAAGATATGAAATAGCTAATATTTATTTTATATTGTACTAGTTTTTTGCCCGTGATTTTATCTACGCTAGTTCGAGAATTAGAAATGTATAGCTGACTGGGCGAACTTTATTCCTCCTTAAAGATAAGACTTAGATTTTTAAAAAAATGATTTGATCAACTTAGTATTTTTTCTTTCTCAATCGGATAAAAACTATCCTAGCCTAACCCGTACAGCCGTTCTTGAGTTACAAATAGTGTAGCATGACTTTTTTAATATATAAAGATTTGTTTGGTGCTTGTTTCATAAATATTATTAAATATAATTTATATATTCCTGGCTCACCTTCCAACCCTGACCCATTTGCCGGTAGCCAGATCCATTTTTTCCAGCTCATATTCTTTAATCGGTGAGCCACCATCATCTTCTGGCTTCTCCCACTTGACCTTGCAGCCTTCTGCGTGTATATCTGTCACTTCCAATGGACCTGGAGAGGATTTAAGGATTTTATAACTTCGAATCACATTGTAATTACATACTTATGAACTTCAGTTCAACTAAGAAACATCAAAGAATTAACTTTCTACGAAAATTAATAATATAATAATAATTTACTATGTATAAAAAATATTTTCTATTACTTAATCTCTTACCTTTAGGAGAGCTTGGTTTGCTAAGCACGGTTAACTCAACGGTTTCCACGTCAAAACCATTGCAGTTTTCAGCCCTCAGCGTGTACTTGCCAGTGTCGCGACGTACCGCGTTAGTAATCGTGAAGTCGGTGTGGTAATCGACATTCTCGATTTTAATCCTTTCTGTGTTCACTAGTTTAATATTTTCACGCCATGACCTAAAAGTAAAAAGAGTATTTTTTTAGATATTAATTCACATTTAGATTGCATCGAGATTATGTAATTCATATATTTTTTCATTTAAATAAGTATAAGAGAAATGTTGGTTTTAAAATAAATCATTATACGATTGAATTATCTTCGATTACCAGCCTCTACTTATTAAAATGTAATATAAATCTCAAGTGTTTATTTATATAAGCTGTCGTAATAATTAACTGTCCCTTGAACAATAACTCATTCATTTCTATATGATACAGCAATAATTATTAACTTTATTGAATGAGTTATAATAGTATGATTATAATAATTCTTTAACGAAGATTTTTCAACATACAACGCCATCTGGCAGCAAACTGCAATGTCGTTAAAGTGTAAACAATTAGTTTCGTACAAGTAAAGTGTAAACAATTATTTTTTTAATTTTACAGTTAATTTATTTCATTGTAAGTATCGAATTATGTTCATTCGTAAAAAGTAATATTAGCCCTTTTTCTATGTATAAACATTGAAAACCGTATTGGTAATATAAATAGACGCCATCTTTTGGTATTAAACTAAAACTATTTACCGCAGAAGTGTATACAAGAACTTATACTATTCGAAGCTAGAGGGCTCTAGTAATTATTTGATACACTAACGCAAATGAATATAGTAAATTGGCAACATAATATCTATCTGTTTATAATAAAAAATATTGTTTTTATAAAAAAAAAAAATTGTACGTTATTTATACTACACGTTGTCAGTAAGTATGAAAGATTTCTCACGAATTCAAAATGTGCAAAGGGCAATGTCCATTTTTGGCCTAGCGTGAACAAGCTGCTATCAAAAAAACAAGTTTATGAAAAAATATATATTTTTTTTAGCTAGCCATTCTATTGTTGTTTGAGTGTACATTTGTATTTTATTGAAAAAATATTTTTAAAGTATCTTCATTGATTTGATATATTTATCCACGTTTTGTGTTACCAGCAAGATCAATTAATGATTGCGCCAAATCGAATCATCTCGCAGTACTTAATACAACTATAAGTATTTAATACAAAAAAAATTAAAAATATTTGCTTTTAATTAGTTTCGAAATTTAAAACGTTTTATAAACTGAAATATGAAGAATGTTAAACGTAATCATATCTCTTTCGATCGATTTTTTAATGATTTTTTTCTATTGCAACACTAATAAAACAAAAAAATACAAATTGACATTGATATGTCACAGACTGATTGTTTACATTCGTTTTGTTTACCTACATTGAGAGTGTTGATTTATTGTTGATTTTCTTTCAACGATTGTTAATTCATTATGGACTCCGACCTATCTTTTTCCAATGACCCCTGCACATCTACGGACTCCGAATTTCGCTCAAACGATGACCCTGGCTTTTGTATTATGGACTCCGATCATAGCATTAACGATGACCAACACTCACGTAATATGGACCCCGAAACTAGCTCCATCGCTAACCACGGCTTGAATATCGACATTGAACAAAACCAAAGCGTGTCACACAGAAGAAGTGACTTCTTACCAATCCGTATCTCTGAGATGAATAAACTGTGGAACTGATTTGATAGAGCGAAGGGGACATAGTCTAGATCTTTATCAAGTTCAGTCTATTATAAGACAGTGGATAGCTCCTCGACGAGTAAGTGTCAATTCAATTAATTATTTAAATCACTCGTTTTTTAATAGATATGTATTGTATACCTATGCTATTCCTATATGCAATATGAGGTTTTATTGTTTTATATAATTATAATCCTTATATACTGTTGTATTATAATAAATGAAAAGATGTTTACTCCTAACACATTAGCTGACTTTGTTATAGAAGATAATTTAAATAGAAGGCGGGCAGATTTTCAACCTATAAATGTAAACATGGATAGTTTCATATTTCCAAGAATAGAATATAATGATCTTGTAAAAATTGCATGTGGAATATACCAACTAAAACAAGCTTGTTCGTATTATGGGCAGCACATAAGAGGCGATGGTTCCTAAACTATAGAAGTATGTAGAAATATAGCCAGCGACCTATTGGTTGACTACCCGATTCCTTTGGCCAACTGCAGGTTATTGCGTGGAAAAATACAAAGCAGGCATGTAAGTCGAAAAATATATTTTATAAATATATTATATGAAAATAATCACAATGGTAAGGAAGCTATAAAAGAATATTATTGTAATTGCATGGTTGGCCGAAGGACAGTGGGTTGCTGCACTCATATAATGACTATTTTATGGTTTTTAAGTTGGGCAAGGCAAGGAACACATTTCACCACCTGTCCAATTTCTTGACCACATATTAATAACATATGATGTCTCAGAATAAAAATAAATCATAAAAAATGTTGTTTTATTTCGCTTTAACCTGTTTTTCCTCATATGACAAAAATCTCTTTTTATACATTTTGATACAAAATTAAGTTCATATTCTCATTATTACTAGTTAGTTAGCTTTTAAACTAATTACAAAAAATATGATAAAATGTCTGTTCACGTCAGGCCAAAGTCCCCATACTAAGTGGACAGTCTCCTTTATATTACCTACTTAAAATATGTTTTATCATGTGTCATTTACTCCCAAGTGTAGTTTACTATGATAGGTTATTCATTAAAAACAAAATAATTAAACAAAAATATTGATAAGTATTTTAAACATGATATTTTTCAAATTAAACTATATATAATTTTTGTAGATTGCAGGGAAGATTACTTTTCTATTGGTGTTTGTTGTTGCATTGAAAAATATACTTTTTAATTAAGTCATAATAAATTATTATGACCAAGTTGTTGGAAGCAGGTTACTATGTAATGAGTAGGTACTATGTATATTGTAAAGATGACAAATTACCAAGTGGTTTCCGGCGGAGGTTCTCCAATGACGTCAACAGACCATTTGTGTGTTCTGCCAGCCTTGATGATGACGGATTTGAAGGTGCTGCGTTCGATGCGTGGTTTCACTGTGGATAGAAGTATTGATAAAATGTTTGTAGAATGTTAGGATAAATGAAGTGTAATTCAAGGGGATAATAGTCATATAGGACTATTATTACATATAGATGATTAACGATCTCTGTGATTTAATAGAGTTAATTATCAATAAAGATAATGATCACGTGTGTAATCCGTAAAACAGCAATATATTACAAAGAAAATTACATCTAGTTTTCATACGAAATTACTTTTCTACTTACAATTACGATTCTACTTACAGTTCCTGTGCTTGCACAGATGGTTCTCAGTGGGTTCAGAGGCATCACCAATACCAGCCTTATTGTAAGCTTTCACACGGAACTGATAAATCATTTTCTCTTTCAGACCTTCAACCTTCGCCTCTGTTTTGATGTCTTCTGTTTTCAGAACCTATGGCATTTAAATACATTTTTTTATTTATAAAATTGTTTTACTTAATTTATTTAATAAATTCCTGCTGTCTTTAAAATGGCTCATGGACTGTTAATCTGTTCTATTGTCAAAATTCCAACGTCAATCCTCTACCCTAAGTTTTGCAATCATAGTTATGCAATATTTGACATTGCAAATAAGGTAGGTATTTACAAAATTTATGTCAATAAACACACAACACGATTTTGACAGATTACACCTACAAAACTAAAAAAAAGTTTTTGTGTGCCAAAATTATCCAATCAAACATAAATAATATTGGTATCATAAGCTAACACAAGATGTATCGAGGGGTATTAGAATTTTGTTTTTCTAATTTTCCTTTGTGCAATTAATGTAATATATTTTTATCTGCACAGCATGTTACGTGTCTATTTTTCTTTGAAATGTGTGTAACACTTATAATTAAGACAACATTTTGATTTTATGATTACTTGTTCAATAATGTATTTTTCGCTTTTATTAATGTATGTCTTGTTGGTGTTAATAAATAAATAAATATATAAATAAATAAATAAATATATCCGATTAAGGAATAAAGTATTGTATCGCAACAAACATGTCGTGTTAAACGTGATTACTTCAATTATAATAAGAACGAATAATTTGATAGTCATTTAACGTGACATTTAATAATGCTTTGTTAATTTTTCATCAGTGATCGTAAATATATTGATAGGTACCTAATTATATTTTTGAAGGTTCATTAATAAATGTCTCGTTTAGACTTAACAAAAAAAAGTTTGGAACTGGAATTTAGAAACTAGCTCTAAATATTTTCAATTCATTAACTGTTCTTATTATATAGTTGCGACTTATGACACTAATAATCATATAGAACACTTCCTCAACTTACGTGTTTTATTTATTTTGTACTCTTGTATAATATACATATAAATTCATTTTCTATGCAATATAAATCTCACCTCAACCCATGTAGCTGTGAATTTGTCCTTCATTTCTATGACATAACCCAGCACTGGCCGGCCGCCGTTATCACTGGGAGGTTCCCATTGTAACGTAACTGACATGTTGTCGTAGTCAATGATCGTTGGTTTGCCAGGAGCCTTCGGTGGATCTGATCATAAAAATCAATATATTATTTATAAGTGAAATTTTTTACCTCATTTACATTCAGCAATTGTGTTATTAAATTAATAGCTTATCTTCCAAAATATGAGTTATTCTAAAAAAAATTCAAACTATTTTAATTAAAAAAGAACTAAGTTTACTGATATATAATGATATATTTGATATTATATCTGGATAGAATGAGCCTTTTACTTTGATAAAGGTGATTGTAGACTCACCGTAAGGATTCTTGGCAACGATGAAACCATCGGTTTCCAATGGTTCGGATTCACCCTCTTTGTTAACGGCGCGAACCCTGAACTTATACTTGTGGTTTGGCGTAAGACCTTTAACGGTAAATTCGGTGGGATCTGGACCACATTCACCGCACGGTACCCAGTTGCCAGTGTCCTAAGAAGAATACAAAGTTATTTCCATATTTCTTTAAGATTAACCACATAGTCTTTTTAAAAAAGGACTCACCATATCCATCTTTTCCAAGGTATATCCAGTGATGTCGGATCCCTTGAAATCGTCTGGTTTCTGCCATTTCACTGTCGCCTTTTCGGCACGTATGTCCGTTACTTCAATAGGACCGTTTGGACGATTTGGTTTGTCTGCATAGTGTAATGAATCATTTTAGTACACATAATATTAATTTTAAAGATATAAAACAATGGGCATTCTTTATTATAGCCATTTTTACCTAATACAACAACATCTCCAACACTTTCACATGTGCCTGAAGAGTTGGTAAGTACAAGCTTGTATTTTCCACTATCAGGTCTTGTTGTTCTTCTGACAGTCAAAACTGTATTCCTCTCGTACTTGTCAATAGTGATACGGTCTCCATCGTCACGAATTTCCTATATATATTCGTTTATTTAAAAAAGTTGCATCAACAAAGTTATTGGATAACAGAAACATTTGCAAGAATGATATCTCCGTCCATGGTACAACAATTAGATAGAGACAAGAAAGATCAATTAAGAACATAGATACAGCATGAATAAAATAGACGCAGGAGAAAAGTGCACAATTTCGAGAGTTTAGTGATACACTGAACTTGTTATGAAGTGTGTACAGACTTGTCATTGTACTGATAGTGTTAACACATAAAATTGCAGTCTGTGATTGTGCTCATTGCAGACTAATTTTTATGAGTATGCAATTTTTTTAACCAGGAATGCATTAAAACGAAATATCTCCATGTAAACAAAATGTTATGTATATGATTTGTGCACATAAATTATGGTTAAGGAATGTTTTGTAATGTGTTGCTTGATAATTCGTATTAATGCATTGAGATAGCTTTTATAAAATACATCGAAAGCATTACATTGCAATTCAATGTAATTGAAGATTGCTTTGTGACAGAATTAAATGCAATCACAATTCACAGAATGATTACAAGATTATTCTGAATCATATAATTCTAGGGCGTTGGGTAACAAATAATTCTGTGAACTGTGATAACATGTCAATATATTTGTGTAGTTATGTTAGCCACAAAAGTGTATAAAGAGTAGAATGTATAAGTATTTGTTTAGAACAATAAGACAACATTTATTTTCAACCAATCTGACCTTCTCCGTGTACGCCTTTCCACGTTTCTTTTTTTGGACAAATAAAATTCTAATTAATAAATTATTTTTTTACGTAAAGAAATTTATAATTAAATTTTAAATAATAATGATCGTTTCTTTTGGATTTTCGTTTATATAAAAAAAGTTTTCAAAATAAATAATTACCTCTTCGCCCAAGAACCATTTAACTTCTGGTTCGGGTTCACCGCCGTATTTGATGTCAAAGGAAATAACCTGTCCTTTTTTGATAATGATACTTTGTACTCCTTCACCAATAATGTATGGTTTAACTGAAATAATAAATAACTTACGTGTAATATGTAGATGAAATGAATAATATGTGATATAACCTATCTAATTAGTTTGAAAACTTACCAAATCTGCATTTAGCAACAATAGGCTTAGTACTGTCACTAGGTTCTCCCGGTCCTGCTTTGTTAATAGCCCGAACCCTAAACTCATATGTGGAACCTTCTTTTAGGCCAAATTGAGTTGCAGATAATGTCTCACCATCGACTTCCACACCCTGTACCCAGTCTTTGCCGAATTTTTCCTACAATACAGATATTTTGTCGATTATTACGTATTCTAGTAATATTTTATATATTAATATTTACATTTCTTATACCTTATATTCAACAACATATCCCGTAATTGGTGCACCACCATCGTTATCTGGCTTTTGCCATTTAAGATCTGCATGATCTTTGTCCCAATCTGTGAGTTCCAATGACTTTGGTTTGGATGGCTCATCTGAAAAATTTACCCATAAAATTAGGTTTTATATTCTAACATTATCATTTAAAATTCTAAAACTCTTCTAAAATTCTAAAACTAAATAATAGCTTAACTAATGAAATTTTTAATGAAAAAACCTTTACGATTTTTAGAAAGAAATTATTAACTTATTTTAAAAAGCAATTAGATTAACTACTCTTGAATTGTATAAGTCGTTACTACTATACTAAATTGTTAATTAAATTAAATTATGTAATACATCTCATTTAAGTGAACATTGTAATATGTTCTTTATGAGGAAATAAAGTTCTTTAACCATGAAATTATTACTTAAGATCTACAATTCTTTAGGACACATACCCCAAGGATCTTTAGCCAATACAGGTTTAGCGAAAAGTCCAGGTTCACTGGAACCGATCTTATTAACTGCTCGAATTCTGAACTTGTATGTTTTCTTAGGGATGAGGTCCTCAACTTTATATTTTGTAGGCTCTCCATAAGCCACTTCACCCACGTTATCCCACGCTGCTTTAAGTGATAAGTCCTGAAGAATTTGAAAGAAGATATTAGCAAGTTCGATAGAGTAAAAATGTAATTTCCAAACCATGTAACTTGTTTAAACTATCTTACCTGTCTTTCAATAATATATTTAAGAATAGGTGAACCACCATCATCTTGCGGTGTTTTCCATGTGACAGTGCAGTTGGTCTGGAACACCTCAACTACCTCAACATTTTGAGGTACGGATGGTGCACTTTGCATAATAATATTAACTTCCTTGGAATCCTCGCCTTGAGCATTGGAGAGTTTAATCTCATATTTACCAGAACCTTCTCTGGTCGGTTTCTTAATTTTGAATAGAACCTTTTCTTGCTCAACTACTGCTTCAATTTCTTTGTTTGGTAGTGGTTTACCATCCTTAAATAGCTTAGCTTCGATTGGTGTTTGGCGTGTTCCGGAAACTGAATAAAATAATTTATGTTATTATGCTCATTAAAAATACTATAATTACTTTTAAATATAAATATCTCACTTTTGTAAGGCACTTCGATAACGAATGGATGTCCAGCGGGTCCGTTGAACTCATCTGGACATTCAATTTGTGGTTTTGATTCACCCTTCTTAACAGACAGTTTACATGAAGAGCTTAGTTTGCCGGATTCACAGAGAATCTCGCCGTCATCTTCCATTTCTATCTTGTTGAAAATGAGTTGATGTTTTCCACCACCCAAATTTTTGATTTCAATCCTTAAAAAATATCAAAACACTGAGTGAAATATGCTCAAATTATTTGACGATTTCATAACAACTTTACTCTAAATTAATAATATTAATTTATCATTTTTATTCACGTAAATTTACCTTTCATTCGGCACAATAGGAACTCCGTTGAAAGACCAAACAGCTTCAGCCGTTTGATCTTGTAATTCAACTTCGAGCACAACTTTATCTCTCTCAATTGCTTCTGTGTCCTTCAACTTCTTGTTGAAGCGATTTGAGTCTGGTAAATTGAAAAAACGGTATTAAAATTGTTACGATATTATTGAAGGAATGAAATCGTTTAAAGATCAGATCTCTATTTTAAATCTTTATATCAAAAAAATGTATTGCATATTTAATTAACGACTTAGCAGATCATTACAAAATTTGTTTCGAAGATAGCCAATTTATACTCGACTGATACATGACAAGTTTGGCTAAAATATTTTGTTCACAAATAAAATGCTGAAATAATTTTGCTTGTATATTTTTTTTAAGTATTAAATTTTGGTGTTGGTTACTTACAATTGACGATCAATTCGCAAGTGGTTTCGTCTGCGTTGCTTACACACTTAAAGTTGCCGGCATCGGTTACCTTAGCATCTTTAATAACCACTTTTCGCTTGCGACCTTCTTTTACAATGGTGACACGTTTATCCGTTTTAAGAGGCTGGTCATTCTTAAACCTATAAAATGGGAAAGACAATTATAAATAATTTTAAAAAATTTCGAACTTAACCTTTAACTACCGACGTGGGGCCTGTGAGGCCGCGGCGGGTTGACAAGTTGTTAGTTTTACCGCTTCCCCGCGCACGTGAGCCCCGTGCTCGTCAGTAGCTGCGAGTTTAGTTGCGCCGACGCCATTGAGTATGGTAGCAGTGCCGGCGAACACAATTTCGGTAAGTTATGTTGTTTTGAATTTACGACGCGGCCTCTCAGGCCCGACGTCGGTACTAACGTTAGTTTTTTGTTTGGGTCATGAATGAAATTAAATGCTTGTTTTCAGAAATCTACCGGATAATTTGAAGAATGGATGTACCAGGGACATCAGGGGTTAAACGTAGTTTACCTACGGATGAATTACGTTTTTCCAAACGACCACGACGTCCTATAAATCTCTTGGATGAAAATAACGCGGCGTTGATTGAGACCTTGCTTGCAGAAGACTCCAGCGGATCGGAGGTAGATGATATCGGAGAAGATTACGTACCAGAAATCACCGATCATGAGACAGGTACTGATACATATATATATGATACTGAAACTACAACTCAGCCATTACTTCAGACGGAAACTATTTCCTGTTCCTTGTCGGATGACGAAGATGTGCCGCTTTCTAGGCTTTGATATTTTAGAGGAAAAAATAAATATAAATGGTCAAAACCTCCTCCTAACCTCCTGATCGCGGTGTGTTTATAAAGCAGTTAGCTTGACAACTCGTATTAGACCACATGAAGAGAAGGGTGTTAAACTTACGCTTGCCTCGTGAACTTCGTATGAGTTTAGAAAGAATACTGATATGCCAAACACAGAACAAAGTCAAGCAAAAGAAGAAAAAACAAGAAAAATATGTGCCTCTTGTCCGCCTAAATTAAATAGAAAATCTACATACCAATGTTACTCATGTAAAAAACATATTTGATTACAGTGCGCTTAACAAATCTGCCCTAATTGTGACTAACTTTGTTGTTGGACATTTTTTTTTATTTTATGAAAACAATTTAAGTTTAATTTTTTTTTAATAGATATAACATTTAAGTTTAAGAAAAAAGTTCATTTCATGGTTCCTAAGAAGTATTATTTCTTTAATTATTTTTATTTCGTGAAGTGCCATTTTTAAGTTTAGAATCGGTGTCAAAGATTAAAGATCATATAATTTCAAAGTTTAATAAAGTTTATTATAATAATTGTCTTTGTTTTCATTTATAGATCCCAAATTAACGATAAAACTTAAAAAATAGATATCTATTGTACATATTTTCCATACCACACAGTGTTTAATATGCGGCCTCTCAGGCCCCACGTCGGTACTAGTGATACAAAAAAACCACGTCGGTAGTTGAAGGTTAATGTATTATATACATATAGTAGAACTAAAAGTATATTTATACATATACAAAAATTACCATTTTACGTCGCCTGCAGCATCATCAAGCTCGCAGAGTAAAGTAATGGTATCCTTTTCAATTGCTTGTTGAGACTTAAGTACCTTGGTGAATTTGTAGGGGTAATCTGTAAATAAAAATAATAATGTCAAATATACTTATAAAAAGCACGCCAGTTTTTTTTAACATAAAGTATGCTGACCGATAATTTTCAGTTCGCAATTCGTCTTGTCCGTTTGCTTCTCGATCTTACAGGAATATTTCCCAGCATCTTCGAATTTCGCTTTTTTAATTATCAGTCTGCAAACACCCGAAAGGTCCTTAGAAATCTGGAATTCTTCACCATCTTCCAGTTTCGTTTCTCCTTTCCACCAAGACACGATGGCTAAACTGTTTGAAACTGCACATTCCAACACGACTTCGTGTTTAGTGTAGCCAGTGAGAGTCTTCTTTAGGTGTTTAGTGAAGTTGTATGTAGGATCGGGCTCTTCAACTTGTAGGAAAGCAGTGCTTGTGATACCTCCGATTTCAATCGTTATTTTACCCGTATCTTCGACTTTAGGATTCATAATAGTCAGTCTGTAAGAATCTTGTTCGTTCGTCATCTTGTATTTTGATCCAGGGAATAGTTCCTGCGTAAAAATAATCATAAAAAGTTATAAGTTGCGTGTTCTTTGTTTATTTTTCATGTCGATGATATTAATTATAAATATGACTTACATCTTTACGGAAGAACCATTTTGGTTTGGCATTTGGTTTTGTGAAAATTGCCTCAAACACAACCTTCTTATCTTTTCCTTCCTTTGCATTTTGATCTACGAGGGGTTTCAAGAACGACTCTTGTTTCTGAAAAATGTGTGTAACCATTAAAAATACTGTTCAGAATTTCTTTGGCAGACGTTGACAAAAAGTGCTCTTCAGACAAAAAGCTGTGTGCGGACCAACGTAACCCTTATTCCAAAGTGTAAAACCTTGGACGATCACTCAGTACGAGAAGTGAAACAATTGTAACAAATGCAAGAAAGTGTGATAACGGAGGCGTTAGATTTATCAGCCATCCTTTACACACCATGCGATTTTTACAGAAGTTGAAAACTCCGTGATATCAAAGAAAGATATAAATGTGGGCGAATTGAAGTCTGCACAGTGTTTGTGTAGATCTCAAAAATTATGAATAATTATTAACTTCAAAAAAAAATATTTTAATTTAATTAATTATTCATAATTATTGAAAAGGTGACCGGAATATTGGAAAAAATCGATGTCACTGTGCAATAACTGGTGCGATGTGCTGAAATAAGAGATACAGGTGTGCAGAAGAGCTTCATTGAAAACAAGAAAGAAATGTGCTCCTTTACCCGGTTCAAGGTGAATCAGTGAACGACATATATTTCGAGAGTAAACAGATACTTGCACTGATAGCTAACATGGTCCGTCCTATTGAACCATGATAGAAATAAAATGTTGTTACTATAGACACCAATTGGAATGTTGAAAAATAGATATGAATTAATGTTCTTAATAAAAAAAAACATAGCTATTTATATTTGTTTCCAAAATTTTGACAGTGATGCCCTCGGTAATAGTATCCTATAATGTATATAATCACCAATCGTTAATATAAATATACTTTAGTAATAAGGTTGCTAAACTAGTATTATAGATTATAGAGGTCATTGATATAATTAAATATTAGATATCAGTGCAAGACGATAATTTCTAATCTTGCTCGACAGATTTATGCTCAAGTGAAGACGTGATACATATTCTTGTGCAACAAATTGCATATAGTGATACAATTCAAGATGCATAGTGTCATCTAACGACGGACAAAGGCGGTGTCAAACCTCGTTTCTTTTGAACGAGTGCAGCACCGGCCAATCTGGAATCAGTTCTGCAAGAGACGGTCTTCTATTTTGGGATCTCTATAAAATATCCACATATCCTTAGTAGTCGCTGATACTCATTAAATAGAAAAGTTATGGGTTAAAGACGATATTAGAAATAATGAATGCCTATTCCGTTCATATATTAATATGATTGTGATTAAACAGCATCACTAGAGACCGAATGAAAATTTTAAGATATGAATACATCGAATGCATCAACCGAAATTAATAATGATTTTAAAACAAAAATGACATTACAAAAGCTCCTCAAGGCGAGGTCACATTAACCTGGAATCAGATATATTTGCCAACAATCCAAATAAAGTGAATAATCATCAAATTCATTCCTCTTACATTCCCTGAAAATGAAGTTAGGAGAGAATGTGAAGTAGTGATATAAAAACTGTGCTGTCGTTATTTAAAACCAATTTATTTATGCATTATTTTTATTTAAATCGCTCTTAAAATATCATTATTAATATAAAGAATGTTTTTGAAATCTAAAATTTTATCGTAATTTTCAAATTATTGTTATGGGTAATATGTATGTAGTATTAATAGTGACTTTTTAAGAGGATAATTTTAGTCATTCTTTATTTAAGTATCGTTTCATTCATTTAAAAAAACATCAATCCTGTTGCAATTTTTGAAAAAAAATATATTTGTAATATAAATGGGTTATTAATTATTATTATTCCAATAGAATTGATGATAATTAAATTTATATTTTTATTCCTTTCCTTTTAATCGAACCTTTATTTTGACAGCCTCCATCAAAGCTGGCCAATCAGGTATTAATTCAGGCAGAGACATTCGTCTCCTTATTTGATAAATACCCTAGAACCGATATTACATGTTATACAAGTGACTCTTGAATATATACATATATACGATAATGCCAAGCTATGTTATTTTAAAGCAGCATCTTAAATGCTTAGAGTCGTGTGTTAAGGTTGCCTTTTATCAGTTAGGATTCCTATATATTTTAAATAGCTTATGTAATACTAACGCTGAACAATTCAAGTAACTTCCTCGTAAACCACCCAGCCATATTATTGGTTTAATAAACAAATCGCAAGAAAAGAGACGTCGTCACAACGTAGTTTTCCACAACTATTGTTATGACGACTTAATTTGACAGATTCTTAACTTGTCATCGGAAGAGTTTATATATATTTAAAATAGTATGGTGTCCTGTGAACCATTTGATTTGTGTTGGAAGTGTCATGAGTGCAAAATAATAATAAGATGGAATGAATGATCATATTAAATTTTGGTGTTTCGAGGACCTTAAACCAGGACCAATTTGAGGAGTTTCTGCGTCTGTCTGCTGGGAATCTAAACATCTCGACACCTTCGGATACAACCACAATCTGATTGCCCTCTTCGAAATATCCAGTCTCTAAGCCCTAAGAACCAAATGCTATGATGCAAACGATGTCTTATTTGTTTAATATATTGTCTGCTGACACCAAATAAATAACTATTTATTGAGTTCTATATTGATAAAATTGCCAGTAGACATTATATTTTTAGTTAAGAACTTGGTCTGTTTTATGTGAGCTTGTATGTGTAAGAAAATATTAATGTAGTACAGTGTATATATGTTATCTATACCTAATAATCAATAATGATAACATTACTAAAAAAAGTATTTTCATGGCCCGATGGAGCTGTCGTTTTTAACAAGTATTATTTAGTTTGTTTTAGTTTATATTTTATAATGTTTTCTTAGTTATAATACATTTTATTTTTAAAAGTATTCATATCACCACTATAAGCGAATCTTCACCTTGACCTTATCCAGACTTGGAGATTGTAATTTAATTGTTTCTATCTTACCTTTTCAACTTTCTTAAGAGGTGGGATTTGTTTCTCGACTTCTTTCAAGTCACCCCAATCTGGGTCGTCCTTCTTTTCACCCCATTTCGCGTATTTCCTTCTCTTGAGCATAGCGCGGAAGTCCATACCACTGGCATCTGCACATTTTTAAAGTAGATGTCTTGTATCATATAGGAGTTAATTTCACTTAACTATAATTACTATTTAAGGATCTTACCAGACACATATAACTGCATTTCTGCTGAATCTTCGCCATGGATGTTGCTAACGACAACTTTGTATCTTCCTTCATCATTGGGTTTGACTTTTCTCATACATAATGTAATAAGACCGGTTTCACCGTCTGTGATGTATTTAAATCTGCCACCCTCGATAATTTCAGTAACACCCTTGTAGAATTTGAAGGTCGGGGCTGGGTTACCTTCCACTTGAATAGTTAGGTAACCAGTTTGATCTGTTAGAAAACAAAAAAAGTTGTTCGTAACAAAATATTGTATCGTTTAGTGATAAAGAAAAATAAAAATACACTTATTAGATATCCAAACTAATTTAAAATATACAAATTTTACCTTCAACAGCAGAATTGCTTTCTTGTACGTCAACGATTTGTGGTGGTCCCTCTTTGTCACCAATAGGCTTTAATGGTATCGAAGGTTTGTTGATCAAATCTTCCAAATCCTGAACTGATGGCCGTCTTGCATCACCAGATTTTCTTCGCTACATTATCAATTTAAAATTAATATCTCATAAAAAATGATCACCCATGTTAATCACGTAGAAATCAACATTTATTTAAAGGAACACTTAATTTTTAGTCTTCATAGAAGTAATATTTTTTTAACGTATAATTATGGAAAGCACAAAATTAAATGTTCGACACATAAACAGTTAAACGTATACATTAAAATATGATATGGTATGTCTTAAAATGATATTACAACATATAGCAACGGAATTCAAAGTATTGAAATTAATATCCATGAAGGTAATTGAACCAAAAATCGATTTCAGTCATCGAGATACATTCTAAACAAAACGAAATTAGATTGAAAAATTATACTATAACTAAATACACGATACATAAGTTATGTTATGACAGATGCTGTGCATCATGAGCGTTAGCCAAATGGGCCGACAATGAAGACCAGCGCTTCCTGATAAATGTAGCGCAAGTGTCGAGGTAACACTTACAAATAATTATAACCGTGAATTATAGTGGCACTCTTAAATTTATTAATGACGTCATTGGATATCATTGGTTCAATTTAATGTGATTGGAATTTTATTGATTTTTCCAAGATATTTTCATTAGACTTTATCATTCTGTGATGCGATTTCAAGATTTTTTTATCAATTTAATTTAAGTGTTTATAAATTATCTTTATTTTGCAAGTAAATCGACACAAAAAAATCGCGTACCTAATTCCTGCAAACGATTGAAATATGTAGCACTTACACTATTAATTATGAATTTGTGCTAAAATCTATAAAAAGTTTAGTTACACGTAAACTTAATATACTATTATTATTTATAAAACTTGTTTATCTTAAAAAAATACCTTGAATGTATATCGATGACATCAAAAAGGATCTTACAATTAAAGATCGCATACTTACCGTTACGTCTTTTGGTACAGCTAAAGCTGCAGGTTTTTTAGCTACAGATGCCATTGTTAATCACATTTAAACAAAAATGCCACAATACAAAAAACATAAATATAATTAATATTTCAATCACAATTATATCACAGTCGAAACCACCAAGTTTTACTCACAGAAGCTTAATCTTTTTTCTAATCTAAGTATTCCATGAGCGAAAGTGGGTAATACCCAAATAATTGAGCTTTGAAGACAACGCCAGTAAATAGGAATGGCTCATTAATTTGCCACTTAATGATGAACGCGCATTAAAGATCAGTTCTATGGGATTAGTTGGGATCATTAACAGGTCGCGCGTGTCAAATGACTGAAAGGGGTCGACCGATGGCTGTTTCTCTATGCCGAGGGTGGGGCAGAGAGCGGGCATCTATTTGTGCCCAGGCACAAATCAACAGACCAATTCAATTAATTATTATATTAAGGTGAGCAATCCGTGTTTATACTTGGACGATGCTGTTAACATATGTGTAAAGTTGTCGCAAGATAGCGTAATTTACGTGATATATTCGGACATAAGGAACAGATATCTTTTAGTAGGCGGTTGTGTGTAATAACAACTTGTAGTTGACAATTCAATCTTGTTTCTTTAATTCTTTAAAATAACATTTCTTATTGATTACATACGCGTGTGCTCTTTTATTTTAATTTTTTTATAAATTTATTTAGTGGAATTGTGATACTCAAAATAAATCCAGTTTTGATTGATATTAGTTTATTTATATTATCTTTTTGGTAACACAAAAATTTACATACATATATTTGTTCAAGCTAAGTATTAATTTCTCTTATAGATGTCTGTTTTATTTTTATCGCGAGAAAATAATAATGGATCTCTCAAAATATATATGATCCAAATCGATCTTGCCCAAAATCTATAAACAGTCACAATTTGTGACGCAATGCCATCGATTGTCCGTATAAATCAATCACATCAAATTAGTATCCTACATTACTAACAGAATAATTATAACTCAACGGAATATTACTTGAAATATCATAATTATAATTAAGATATTACGAACATATTTAATAAATTCATAAAAATAACTATAAATATATAAACAGTTTTTAATATCGTTATTGTTAATGAGCTTTATTTATTTTAAAATCATCAATCAACTGGTTTGCAGATGGAGTCGGAATATAATATTAGGCAAACACCTGTCAATGTAGCTGATCATTGTCATTTCGCTGAAAAGTATTTATGCCAAGAGTATAACAGATAATATAGCGCCAACGTCTCTGTCATCCCACGCCCGAAATAAGGTATGAACCTTATCTATACGTCACAGTCAATCATGCATACATCTATTCTAATCTATTTGCAGTTTGACCTTGCTTTTAATTATAACATTGTCTAATTATGGCGCTTTGGAATGAGCAACGAACCTTTTATTTTAGTTTTTAGTGACACATTATTAATATCGTGATAGAATAACTGCTCTGATTTGAATTTTAAACATTTAAATTCCGTTTTTTATAAGATTTAAACAAGTATTTTAAAAAATATGTTTGTGCTGTTCTGAAGTAAAATCAAGTCTACTAAATGGCGTTTAGGACTTTATTTATTTTTAGTGAATGTCAAAAAAACATATTTTTTATGCAAGTTATTAAATGAATTTTGAAATTTAAGACTTTCGCGAGTATTCATTTATATGAAACCAACATTTTTGGATTACTAGGAGTATTTTATTATTTAAAATCATAAAATACGCATACGCGTACGTAATTGTAGTAATCCGAAAATATTAGTTTCATTTAAATGAATTTTGTTCATGAAACAAATTGAAAATCATTTGAGTTGGCATATGCCATTATATATATAATTGAACAGTTAAAGTTAGAATAAGCCTTGGCCTGGCTTCTCGCTCTTGATCTAAGTCTATCAATCTTTGGCATTCTGAAATGATCTGATGTAATTTTTATAAGCTATTGATAAACTAATGTGTCATTTGGAACAACCACCCTTCATACTAATAAATATTTTAAAAGAATCGGTCAATAATGACATAATTTTATACTTTCATAATCATTGAATAATTATGACCTTAGTTGTATACTTCACTAGTCGTTCAATAATGACATAATTTTATACTTTATATGAATTCATTTGAGATATATTAGTATTGATCATTTTGTAATATTAATGATATTCTAAACACATTTGCTCACTTCATACATTTGGCTGCTATCTGAATTCATTGATTTATAATTATAGATCTTTGTTTAGCTTCCGCTTTTAAATTAAGTGATTTGATTTATAAATTGGACACGACATTGTTTTGGAATGTTATTCATATATATAAGTTTATATATATTGTGGCATCTTTATATGTATTTCAAGCAATATAACATATTCTTAAAACTAAAACTTAATTCTAACATTCATTTAACATAAATGTAAATTCAGAACAGCGTGGGTAGCGGGTGCAATACATTGATAATTAATATTTGTTTTTATATAAAATTAAAGGAATGTTATAAGAATTTATTATAGCATGCGAGATGAGCAAGATTTTAAATATATAGTTTAGGGTTGTGCTTTGTTTATCAGATTAGCAACTTGATACACATATTAGAAGACATTGTAAGTAGCTCTAAAATCTACATTAGGGGTGTGATTATGTTAATATTTTTGTAAGTTTTTCGTAAGAATACCTTCCTTACATTTCGAAACTGATTATATCCCGGGGTTAGTCACCGTTTTATAAAAAGTTTCATGAAAATGAAAACAATATACGTTTTACCTACAACAGAGACATTAATCACGGTATCAAATCTATGTTAGCCACGTAACTATGAGATCTTTTTTTTTTCTATAACATAGATCTAAACATATATTTTCACACATTTATACCTCGTCTGATAGTTCACCCGGCCTGCCGCGTTTCTTTTTGGAAAAAAATAAGTATTTTTAGTAAACATTCTCTGTTAATAATGTGCTTATATTAATATAATATAAATGTCTATTAACATGTTTTGTGTGTTTAAGATATTTTTAGATAGTAATTAAAGTGCCGTATCAATATGACTTGGTGCATTTATGTGTTATGTGTTGTGTAATGTGTTGTTGTTTTTCGAGATGAATTAATTCATAGATACAGGTGATGCTGTGCTAAAAATATTGTGAGTGATTTTTGTGTTTCAATTCAGATCTGAAAAAAAGTGCCGATAGGGTTAACATTAAGCAAGCATTAAAATACGGAGACAACAAGATTTTTCAAGTAAGCCATTCTTGCTGTATAAAATTCAACTAAAAAGCTGGAAAGGCCAATAAGGAACATAATTGGAAGTACTTGTTTTAATAAAAATTATGATTCCCTTTTGCTCTACAGTATAAAGTTTCTATGCGTATCTGATTTAAAAGTTCCCCGCCAGTCTATAAAGCGGCTTTTTGTTCTGTCGATAAGGGAAAGAAAGGAGAAGTCTAAAATTAAATAATTTTGAGTACATCATTAAGAAGGTCTAAGGAAATGGCTAGAAGTCAACTAATTTGAGAATATAAAGTTGGGTTAAATTCTACTTTCAGGATACAGTTATGGATGTTGTGAATCGTGATGTATGTATATTGTTTTTTTTTGTAAATTCAAAATATGTAGTCAAGATAATCGTCCGTCACGTGCCAAAAAAATAAAACTAAACAAATGCTTTTGCAAAGCAAGCAGCTTCCACCTAAAACTGACCAGACCCAAACATCTCACCTTTTTCTCGTCTAAAACTTCTCCTGGACGTAATTTCGTGACCTGTTGTTAAAAAATACTGATAATAACCCCTTTCAATATAAATATTGCCTATCTGTGCCGCCGAACCGGAGACCTAGGACCCTATGACCTACAGTTTAGTATTTTGCCCTGAGTAACAGCTGTGAAGAAGTTATTTCGTTACGTGTTGCATCACCGTGTTAATCTTTTTTTGTTAGTTTTTGTTTTTAAACTGATGCTTTCCAGACATCATGTGCCTTCGTTAATACCCGTGTGCTTTAAGAGGTATTTGTAACCGTTATTTGTGTGCATACGTGCGTTTAAGCTGTGCTGTTTATTTTGTGTGCTTTGTGTCACAAAAGTGTGCAATAGCTCGGTGCTCTGGACTAGAAGTCTGACAATACTGGATAATAACATATTCATTTCAATAATTAAATATAGTTGCTATAATCCCTCAAAGGACTGTTCAAAATATACTGAGATTATTATGTGATTATCCAGAAAAATTGCTGTGTAAACGGTGCATAAACTGCAATGCAATAACATATTTTTGACAGAAGAACAGTTAAATTTCGTCACGGCAACATCATAACGAATAGCATTCAACGCAATAGTCGTAGCAACATCTCTTTTACCTTCTTCTCTTCAATCACCTCTCCAGGTCTTAGTTTTCTATTGTCCTGTGGATTACGTGTTTTACCGTCTTAATATTTTTCCCTAATGTAATACCCTACCCTGTTACTCTAATTCTAAATACTATGAAGCATGGAATAAAGGATTCTAAGCCTATATCAACCAATCAAATCAACTAATCATAATAGTTACTCAAGCACCAGGTTTACCAAAGCATCATACTGATGAAGTAAAGCATATATCAAAGGATTTCTCGGGGTGTTCAAATGTTATGGGTTCGGCTTGACAGAATAGGGTCTAAAGGGTTCACATTAAAAAATATTTGTTACCACGCACCTATCTTATAAATAAAATTTTATAACACTCAGATTTTGCCAATAATTCCACGTAGTCTTAATTTTAAAATAAGTGCGTGTTTAAAAGGATAAAACGGTTGTGAAATAATTTCTAGGCTACAATTAAATAGCAAAATAAAGGTGAGTCTAGGGGTTTTTCATACCTTTTCGTGTTTGTTGAAAGAAAAGAGATAAATAAAAGTATATAATTAAATGTATTCTATTTCTAAGAACATAATAAATACATACCTCGTCGCTGATAATTAGTGAAGGACGTCTTCCCATCTCCTCTGGAGGAGGGATAAGGGAACCTCTCCTGCCAGGAGGGGCTGGTGACAATGAAGGTTTCCTTCCTGCCTCTGGTTTCGGAGACTTATCCCGTACAACCTCGATCTTAGGTGTCGCTGGTTTCTCTTCAGGTGCCTTAATTTCAGGCACCTTTGGTTTTTCAGCCGGCTAAATAAAGTTATGTTAAATTTAGAGAATAACCGTCGCAAAATACTTTCATGTCATGTCATTGTTTATTTTATTTAAGTGAAATATTTGATACTTATTTAATAATATTTTACATACAACAAAAAAAGACTATTTACTTTGTCTTTTTCTGCCTTTTCTCGAACTGTTGGTGTAGGAGATATTTTTTCATATTTCTCAAGTTCTGGCCTTTCATAGTCGGGTATTTCAGGTAATTCTTCAGCCTTTTTCCTTGTAGTTGTGACCTTTGCTTTCTTAGCTTCTGCTTCTACTGTTTCTTCTTTAACAGCGACTTTCTGTAATTTTTGGAATTTATTAAATTTTTCTAAACTTTTACATTTGAAAACTTTTTTCTATTGGACATATTCCAAAAAGTATAAAAAATCTAGAAATTATTTTTAAATTAAATCATAGAAATTTGGTAATTACAAGAATACATTAAGGTATGGAAATTGTATACTTACCAAAAGATGAGCCTGTAAATAACACTTGTCAAGAAACAATTTAAGATAAACAAAAATTAGTAAGCAGAAGCAAAGCAGGGAAAATAAGTCTACATAAAAAAAGATGTCAAAGCAAGACAACAAATACTATTGCGCTACCATTGACAACAAACTACAAATATATTTACAATACAATTCATTGGTTGGTAGTTTTCATGATGGTACTCAGTGCTATACTACAGATCAGTGAAAGTGCAGTGTGCGATGTGTTTCACGAACTACTAAAATACGGTGCAATGTGCTAAAATTTTGGTGTAAAATATCTATAGCCAATTCGTGTACCTCGTTTGGTTGAGGTTTGCTGCCTAAAGGTTGTGGAGTTTCTAAGAGATCGGATTTTTTCTCCTCTTTGCCCTCGGTTTCAGCCTAAAGAGTAAAGTTTATTATTGGCGACCTTACGACATATTTACTCAAATTGGAGCATGTTTATTTGAATTGTTAGTGTATAAAATGTGAAATTTATAATTTTATGGAGTTCTGTAGTGAAATATGTTGTGCAGTAATGATTGTGTGTGCAGGAGATATGTTTGTGAGTGTTTTTTGTACCTGGGGAGATCTAGATCTTCTCCATGGTACAGTGGTGTCTTGTGTGTTTTGTAGTGTAGGTAAAATTTTGTCCTGTAATTCTGATTGTTGTTCCGCCTAATTATAACAAAAGAAAAGTTAAATAGAAGATTGATAACTTGTTCTTATATATTTTCCTTCTAAAATTTTGTTATATGTACCTGTGGTATTTCAGGGATGACGTCCCATGAAAATGGTACTTCGTTAGGACTAGTTTCGGGTTCTGGTGTGATAAGAATTGGTACCTAATAGTGGACGATTGAAATATTATTGCAAGTGATAAAAAAAAATATTCACGTATATCCATTTAATAGATTGTGTAAGACGTTTTACCTCTTTTGGTTTTCTCCACGGATATAAAGTGTCTTGTGTCTGTGTTTGTGGAGTTGTGATAGACTGTTTTATTTCTTCAGATTCCTATTAATAACAATAATTTTAGTTTACCAATGTAAATATCCTTTTAATGTACGTACTTTATGTCTTTTAATTACCTCGTTTGATTTACTTGGACGACGCCAAGGATAAACTTCTTCATTCGTTTGTTTTAATGGTAATTTATCTTCTGGTAATTTATTTTTAGGAATATCACTAGTATCTACCTGGTGTTTATTTGGAACCTAAACATAAAAATTAAGTTTGTTTGAAATTTATAGAAAACTCAGAAAATACTTTAAAAATCTTTCGAATAAAATTACCTCCTCGACAGAAATCTGACCCTGTTTATCTTGATCTTTACTCATTGGCTGAGTATCAAGTCTCGTTGATTCAGGTTTTTTGGACGGTTCATTTATATTATCCTGTATTTAATGAAATTATTATTACTATTCCTTTTTATTAAACGCCTACTTAGTTCTTAAAATTCTTTACCTTCATTGATCTACGACGAATTGGTTCTTTGTTTGTTGGTTGAGATTCTAGTTTGTCAGGTATATCTCTATCCGTTTTTATAGGTCCATCATCCCGAATATTTATTTGTACTTTGGATTCGTCTTTAACTTTTTCAGCTTTAATGTCCTAAACGTTTATTTAAATTAAATAATTGGTAATTATGAAATACTAAGAGAAAAAAATATTTTAATTCTACACAAATGAGCTTTCTTTTTAAAATTAAAACTGTCAAGAATATTCCGAATTACTAAAAATAATGCCAAACATTCTTTTACCTCATCAATATTACTTGTACGGCGTTTGTCGGGACGATCTACGGGGACATTTTCTTTAATTTCGGTACGATCTATTATATCGTTATCAGATTCTTCTTGATCCTGATATAAGAAATCAAACTTTAAAAAAAATTCGTTACGGTACAACGGAATTTTATTTACTGTTTATTACAAAAATACCTCAGTTTTACTATGTCGGCGTCTTGGTTTGCTGACTTTTTTAGATTTCGGTTGATCTAGACTAATGCTACGTTTCGGTTGCGTCTTTTCAGAGGTTTCCTATTACCATGTAACATGTTTGTAAGAATGAATTCATTGAACGTGTGTAATGCTGTGTAATAGAAAATGTAAGTGTTGTTTATGTGTACCTGTGTGTCTTGTTTTGAAGGTCGCCAAGGATAGTCCTGCTCTTTAGGTTTTTTTAATTCTGGTGTATTATTTTCTTCTATTTCCTTATCGTTGTCCTATTTATAAGAAATTGAAATGTAACCTATTAATATTAGTGGTATACCAATTGTGTTTGAAAGTGTAGTACGTTGCTATAACACGATTAAAGAGACAATACAATATGGACACATAATATTTACAAAAGCAACAGATATGTAGTTTCTTTTTCCTCGATATGTTCAAAAGGGATACAATATGTTTATCATGCATAGATTTGTGGAAAGCAACTTTACCTTTAACTTAATTTGTTCGAGTTCATTTACAGTCCTTTCGGCATGTTCTATTTTAGTCTAAAATCAATATTATTAGTAAGCAGGGATCTACTCAAATAAGAACAAAAATCCTCATATAATATGTATCGTTGCTTTCATGCTTTCAGCTTGATAAATACACTATCATTAAACAGATTTGTTGTTGACCAATAAGTTTTAAGCTAGCCAAGATGAATGCGAAAGATATATTCATCTTGACAACAGTCCATTTTTTGTTTGCATAAGCTTCTACTTATAAAAAGTCTAAATTATTTATTGAGCAAAGCATAATTTGGTGTTCTAACCAATTTCAATTAAAGCCAAAAAAAAAAAATTCTTCGTGTAGTCAATAAGTCAAATCTACATCAAACTTCAAAAGGGATTTTGCTTTTAGGTTGCAATTTGCCGTAAAATTTCAAAGTAATAGATAACTAACACCGGCAGAGATGATTCCACCGATGTAGATTTCTATCTCTTACATATTATCTACTTACCTTGAGAGCAGACTTTTTGAATTGAGAAACTTGTTCTTGTTCAGATATTGATGCCACCGAAGACTTTCTGCTCTCAGCAGTTTCTTTTGTGAACTATAAGAAAAAGCCTTACTAAATGTCTTATCATCTATACTAAAGAACATAGTGACATTGACGATTTTATAAAAACAAATCTATACTTAAACTAGAAAGACTAAAATAAAATCATCTGAACAAAAAAATATTCTTTGGTTTTTAACTAATGTATTTAACACAATAAAGATAGCGAGGTCGAGGCTATTTGGACGACATCCATATTCGCTGGTTGAGTAACGAATGATCGCGATTTGTGTGGGCAAAGCTCACAGGTAGTATAATTCACAATAGCGAACCAGCCCAAATTGCATACTTTGTAAATGCGGAGCAAAAGCAGATTTAAAAATACTTATGAGCTGTTATATTTATAACATTCAAAAGTTAAATGATAGGCATTTGTTATCTATCCGTTTGAAGTTTTTTGCTGTGTTTATTTTAAATGATTCTTATATTGTTTGATGTAGAGGATTTATGAGTAATTAATTACCTTAAGTTGTTTATTTTCGATAATAGAACTGCGTCGGCTTTCGGTTGTAACTTCCTGTTGCACCTAAAGAAGAAGCCGATTTAATTTAATTCAAAAAAATGTTGTCTTTTTTTTCAAAAAAATTTAATTTGTTGTTGATATTTTATGAACAATTAAATTTAAATTTGGAATTTTTGCACAAGTTTTTTATGCTCATAGTTTTTTAACTTCCCACTTTTATCACAATTCACTTACACTTATAACACTTTTCACATACTTCTCGCTCCGAACCCCAAGCATTATCAGACTTTAGACTTCACGGCGGTCTATCGCAAAGTGACACTTGTGCCAAAAAATTCACCTTTTATTAACTCGTTTCTGTATCCCCACCACATTATTTTTTCATTCATAATAAAGTTTTGTTCCTAATCACAACTCTTATTTATACATAGAATATTTTTAAATTACGAAAAGCTATTATTTTACTTGGTTCAGCGACATTTATAAAAATACTTACCTCGCTCTGAATCGAAGATCTTCTGCTTTCAGTCTGAAAATGAATAATGATATTATTTAACTGTATACACGAATAACACTTAGGCAATCATCATCAGTTATGACTGGGATATTAACAGAGTAGTGTACAGTTATTACAAATGTTTAATAAGGATCATTCACTGAGATTGTAGAAGACAAAGGTTCAAAATATATATAGCATTCAATATCTTTATGAATATACATTGTATGAGAGGACTTTTCGAAATATTATGTTTCATTATAATATTCCAATATTAATTCACAACAAATGGAATTCATGTGGGGAACGCCAAAATAGATTATACCTTTATAGACAGAAATTGTTGTGCTTCGGCGACCATCTGCATCATTATAATAAATTTTTAACTGAATCTTTGTAAAATATATAATATAAAGACCTTTTTGATGTATTTTGGAAATATAAAAAGCAAAATTCCGAAAAACCAAGAAATAATTTAATTCAACTCACCTCGCTTTGAACGCTTTGAACCGATGTTCTTCTGCTGTCGACCTAGAGTAATAAAATCACACATTATATATTAAATAAACGAAGAGCTAACCATTTCTATGAATAGAAAGATTATTATCAATATTTTAAATCCTATTTTACTTCAATAAGTCAAATAAGTAAATTTCACATAAATCCTATTTATTTATCTATAACATATATACTTAAATTGGAAATGAAAAGTTACCTTAGCAATTTCTTTTTCCTTTTTGTCCCTCACAGTCGGTGTAGGAGTAATCTTTTCATATTTTTCAAGAACAGGTCTTTCGTAGTCATCCACGAAGTCCAATTCATACTGTAAAATATATTATCGTTTAGTTTTAAGAATTATGATTTTTAAATAATCCCATGACGTTCCTGTAAAAGAAAAACAAAAACCAGCAACATGCGACTTCCGACAACCACTTTGGACAACACAACGAAGACCGTAAGCTTTGAAATGTAACGTTGTTTTAGTAAAACTTAAGTGTCATTTATAATTTATTTTAGTGTTCAAATAAATGTATGTGAGTGTATAAAAGTATACGTGTAGTGTGCATTTCTTATCATAGAGTGTTTTGAGTGATTTATTGTGAAAGAGTGAGAGTAAGACAGAGATAGATTGAAATAACGACTAGGACATAAGAAAGTCACGACATTGAACATTTTCAGTACAGTGAAATGTTTACCCCATCCGAGGTTTCCCTTATTTCGGAAGTAGCCTTTTTAGGCTTTTCTGGTGTCTTCTTTGTTGTTTTCTTTAGTTGTGGTAGTTCAAATTTACCTCCTTTGATCAAAAGGGGTGCCTAGAGAAGCAATAACAGTTAAACTAGTTTACTTCTACTATTATCAAAGCATTTTTTTCTAGTGCAGGTGTAGCTAATGTTAGTTTATTTGTGCCATTGAAAACAATAGAAAACAGTGTTATTAATGTGTTAGTTCTTTTGGTCATTTAATAATTATCTCAGATACGCTTGTATATAATTATTTTGTAATTCTACCTCTTTATCGTCTTTAGGTTCTTTAGCTTCCTTCGTTCCCTTTTTGACAACAGCTGGCTTTTTAACCTTAAGCTGTGCTGCCTCAGTTCCCTCCTATAATTTTTATTATGGTCATATTTAATTTTTATTTTTAAACTAATATTATAACGTTACTGAGATAATTATGAAATGTTATATAGTACCGTGGGCTTTTTCTGGGCTGGTGTCTTTTGTGTCAATGAAGCCTCTTCAGGGGCAGTTGTGCTCGTTTTAGTTTTTGGTTTTGAAACACTGACAGATTCTTCAGTATCCTCGCCCTAAGACGGTAAATTAATATTTTAAATAAAGCTTTGTTAAAAGAATGTTCACACACTTGTATGTGCTTTTGACTCTAAGTGATAGCTGTGTTTGTGTACGTCACATCATATATTGTGGTAGATAAATTTGTTAATTTAATAAATGTATTATTTTGTTACTGCTATTTCAATTGACAGTGCATAGGCCTACGTGTGAAGGTATCATATTTTATTAAAATGTACCAATCGATTGCATGTTTTGTTTTTTAAACTACATTTTACCTCAACAAGTACTAAAATTCTTTTTAATGTGTGTGGTACTGAAATCATATCTGTCTGTAAATAATAATAATTTATACAAAATGAGGAATTATTTATATGCGAATGTTTTGGTAGAGTGTTTTTTAGTCCTACCTTAGTGTCTTTGTCTTTAGGTGAAGGTCGTTTGATTGTCTTTTCTTCGACAATCTCTGGTTTCTTAACTTTAAGTTGAGCCTCAGCTTCACCCTCCTATATTAAATGTATTTGACAATTATATAAATCGATCAATGTGATCATGTAAAATTTGTGCGCGGAAATGTATACAAACCGTAGGTTTGATTTCGGTTGGTGTTTTATGTGTGAGTGAAACGTCTTCAGGCTCTTGACTTGGTTTTACTGGAGCTTTTGGTTTAGCGAGGCTAACATTTTCGTCAACGTCCATAGGCTGAATAAAATTGTGTGGATTAACATATTTGTTTTAGGACTTAACGCAAGTGTTGTTTAAGTTAATTAAATCATACCTCAGATTTATCTTTGTCTTTAACTGAACGTCTCCTCGAAATTGTTGCGGATGGTGTTTGTTCTTCTGGTTTTTTGTCCTCCTAATTTATAAAATATATTTCTTTATTTAAAAGTTTGTAAAGTGTTAAAAGGAATAATTTAGCAGTAATATATGTAACGTATGTATGTAAAAGCTTATTTTATGTATGAGCGAGTGTGAATTAAAGCAAATGAATAGCCTTAATTTGTGTATAAAATTGTACCTTCTTCTTTTTCTCTGTAGGAGTTGGCGTTATTTTTTCGTATTTCTCGAGAACAGGTCTCTCGTAATCATCAACAAACTCGTCCTCAACAACCTTGCGACATCAAATAATATAAATATAAGATTTGGGCAATAGCATGTATATAAATAAAATGTTATATGTCTCTACAAATAAGTGAAGTTATCAAGAAATATATACATACAAAATTCACACAATCATGTAGCATATATACTTACCACAAATATACTTACCACAAAAGATATCTACATTTAAAATAGTTAAAGCAATTAATTTAAGCATAAAGTAAAAGAGTAACCCAGTAGGAAATAGACAATTAGGATTTTTCTGGAGTGTTTTCTAAAAGGTGGAGTGTTTTTTAAAAGTGTAATACGGAGGAATAGTATATGGAGTTAAAATATAGGTTTGTTGTGTAAAATTGTGCTCATAGCGCGAAGTGTAATTATTATTTGCAGCCACTTTAAGGTACCAAAACTTAATAGTACTTTGTTATATGTTAGGATATTTTGTACCTCCTTTTCTTTAAGAGATGGGCGTTTTTTAGGTTTAGCGTCATCTTTCTTAGTAGGTTTTGCCTTTGGTTTTTCATCTGGTTTTTTCTCCTCCTCCTAACATTATAATAGTATTTAATAATAGCCATCTATACTCAGTACCTAACCATCTATATTTTGTGGAAATAAATAGTACCTTATCTTTAGGAACAGATACTTTTTTCAAAGTCGGGAAAACAGGTTCTTCATCTTTTTCCTTAGGCTTAATTTTACCCTTCATCGCGTCAGTTTCATCCTTTAAAATTTATTTGTTGTTTTATTTTTTATAATACATATATAAACATGACAAATTACACGCGTGAAAGGAAAGTGTAAATAAACTACCTGTGTATCACTAACTCGACGTTTATCTTTTGGTGTGGGAGTTATTTTTTCATACTTTTCAAGTTCTGGCTTTTCATAATCGTCAATAAATTCAGATGAATCCTATGAAATAGCGGTAAATCATTGATTTTTATACTTGAGAGAAAAATATAAATGATATTGGGAAATTTTATGGATTTATAATATTTGACCAATGAATAAAGTATCATTTAAGTATACCTCTTTCACCCCATTTTGTTTCTTTGTCCTCTCTGTGGAACTGGGACTGATTTTATCATATTTTTCCAAATCTGGTCGTTCGTAATCATCGACAAACTCTTTTTGTTCCTCAGGCTATGTTTAAAAGAAAATATTTAGAACGAGGAGTTAAAAATAAAAAAAATGTAAATAATTGTTGTTTGTCTAATTTTACCTTTCTCAAGGGTTTTTTACTTTGTGCAACCTGTGGCTCTTCAACCTTTTCCTCGACAGGTTTTGTTGGAATTTTAGATAGTTTTGGCTGTGATATTTCATCAGCTGGTTCCTCAGGTTTGGGCATACCCTTTTTAATACTTAAACGCCTCTTTTCTTCTTCAACCTAACCGTCAACGAATAATTTGAATAAAATTTTTAAATACTAATATATTTATAGTTTTTAAACTTGTTAACAGTTAAAAATTTTGACGCATAGAAATTTAAGGATATACAAAATTTTCGGAATATACCTTCTCTGGCTCAGGTTTAGCTTTTTTCTCTGAAACTGGAGCAGCAATAGAAGGCTCTTCATCACTTACTTCTGGTTCACTTTTAACACTTTCAGACAGTGATGCGCGTTTTGACTATTGAAAATAATATTATGACAAGACCATAATTAATGTTAAGTATATCATAACGCAATGTAAGTGAGTGAATGTTGTGTAGTTTACCTTTAATGTGTCATTAACTTTGGGTTTCTTTTCTAGTGGTGTTGGTGTAATTCGTTCGTATTTCTCCAAAACGGGACGCTCGTAATCGTCAACAAACTCGAGTTCGTCCTACATTCGAAAGAATACTTAACACATCTATGTTATCACAAATATTTACAAGCACGTTGTTAACACAACATTTTCAAATAAAAATATTGTCACTGATTTGTCATAGCAGTGATCAAAAAAATATGTCCGAAGAATACTCCTTAAATCGAGAAAAATATACTCACGTCTTCCTTCTTTTTGGTGACCTTCGTCTTGACAACTTTTTTCTTTTCTCCAGTCTTTTTGGTTTCTTTCTTTTCTTCTTCAACCTTAGGTTCTTCTTTAGGCTTAACAGGTTTGAGTTTTGGTATTCCTTCAAGTTTGGCCTCGGGCTCTGGTGCCTTTTCAACCTTTTTCTTTTCCAACTTTTCAAGAAGAGCTTTTTTCTCTTCTTCTGTTTTTGCTGTTTTCTTTTCAAGAATTTTCCTAGCGTCTTCGGTTTCAGTGGTTTTTTGTTCTTGGACTTTCTTTGCGTCAATTTTGGTTTCTGTTTTCTTAGCTTCTGCTTTTACTTCGGTCTTTTGAGCCTCGATTTCAATTTCTTCTTGTTTCTTTTCTATTTTTACTTCTTCTTTCTTTGATACCTTTTTAGCAGATGATTTTTTCTTCATAGTCATTTCTTCGTCTTCTATTTCTTCTTCTTCTTTTTGAATTTCTTTCTGATATATTACAATAATAGGATTAATATTTTATAGTAAAAAAATTTATAAGTAGTGAATGATTTTCAAAAATTTAATATGCATTATATGTAGCTTGCAATTAAAATTAATACGTATATAAAATTTCTTTGGCAGCATATTGCAATATTAAAAAGTGAAAGTTAATAGTAACTTACAAATTTTGTAAGTCATTTATGGAACTAACATACACAAAAATGGTAACTATCAGTACTATACGTATCTACAAAAGAATATATCTATTCGTCTAACCTTTTTCTCATCAATGTGATTTTCTTCAATGACAGATTTTTCTTCTACGATTGACATTTCCTCTTCAGATTCTTCAATAACAGTAGTTTCTTCCTCATCTTCCTCTTTTTTCTTTTTCTAAAAATAATAAAACAAAAAATTATATATGGAGGAGATTTTTTTTTGGTACTTGAATATTATTTGGATTGGTTTTGATAATCAAATTATATACCTTTTCCTCAATTAGTGTTAAATCAGCACTGGATTCATCTTCACCAAATTCGTTTTTGATAACTACTCTGTAATTAGCTACATATTTAGAAGAAACTTTTCTGATAATCATGCGTGCGTTAGTTCCATCAAACGATGTATTAACTTCCGAAGACTCTCTTATAACGGTCGAATTTTTGTACCAAGTACATCTACATGACTGGTCAGATGTTTTAAGTACTGCTACAAATTCTGCCTCATCGTTTTCTTTCTTAGCCTTTAAAAGAAAATAATAATATTAATGACGGATTATTTAAATACATATTAAACAAAAAATAATAACTTTGCTCATTATTGAGTAAAAAAGTCGTAAATTATACTAACCAGGCTTCTAAGATGTTTTATAATTTGAGGCTTTTCACCCTTCTCTTCGGGTATTTCAGTAATTTCGACCATTTGGGAAGTAGCTTCACCTTTTTCGTTCTTAGCAACCAGTTTGTAAGAACCTTTGTCGTTCTGAGATACGTTAGATATCTCTAACTTGACTGCGAATTCGCCCTAAAGTGCAAATAGTGATTAAAATAATGAATATTTAATAACTAATATAAATAAATATATAAAAAAGATTTTTACTCACTTCTCTAACTGGTTCAATCAAAACTGTATGCCTAGAATCTTCTTTGACTGCACTTGCCTCTTTGAACCATGTGCAAGAAGGTGCAAATTTACTTAATACTTTACATTCAACAATTACTGTTTTCTTTTTAACTATCCTAATGATCTTTGGTTTCTCTTTAATAACTGGAATGACTGTAAAGGAATTGTTATGTTAGTGAGTAACATAAAAATAATGTATCACTAAAATAGTGAAAAAACAAACTTACTTTCAATATTGAGCGTTAGATTTGCGTTGAGCTCTCCAAGTTCATTTTTAATATTGCATTTATACAATCCAGAATCTTCTAGACCGGGATCGATAAGTTCCAAAATTATTGTATAAACGTCTTCATGTACTTCGACTCTGGTTTTTATTTTTGAGGAGTCCCTAACTTCTTTACCCTCGTGGTACCAGACGATCGTTGGTCTCGGGCTAGCTTTAACTTTACAACCCATTATAACAAGTTTGCCATTTTCTTTAGACTGAATTGTAGGCTTTTCAATAAATGTTGGTCCCTCGCCTTCGGGTTCTGGTTCAGCTTCAATATTTAAGTTTAGATTAGCATTGCTCTCGCCAAATTCGTTCTTGACATGACAGCGGTAAGCGCCACCATCCGCTGCAGTCGGATTTGATAAGAGCAGTATCAATTCATAAACGTCTTCACTTATGACTGATGATTTAATTTCGATTTTACTGCTAGCCTTAATAACGGTCGTGCCTCTGTACCACGTTACTTCAGCCGCCGGCTTAGCTTTACACACGCATCGCATTGTGATGAGTGTGCCATCTTCGTTGGGAATGATTCGAGGTTTTTCAATAAATGATGGTGCAAAACCATTTTCATCATCCCCACCTAAAGAAAAAGATTAATAAATGACAAGGCCCCTGACAATTTAAATAAATACCATGCAGCATGAAAGCCTGAGCATGACATGCGGTGCTACTGTATGCGTACTTATTCTATATAAACCTTAAACTACATCACGATAACCGCTTATTACCTTGGAAGTTAAGAGCAATATTAGCATTGCTCTCCCCAAACACGTTAAAAGCGTTACATCTATAGTTCCCGCCATCTTCCTTAGTTGGACTCAAAATTTCAAGAGTGAGATTAAATGTGTCCTTTCCGATAGCTTTTCGAGACATTTTCATTTTAGCACCGTCCCTAATTTCTTTATCTCCGTGAAACCATGTAATATCTGGTACTGGATGCGCTTCAAGTACGCACTCCATTATTAAAATATCCCCCTCTTGTCTAATTGTTGGTTTCTTAGGGAATCGCGGAGCTTTACCATCCGGGATTCTGTTTAAATAAAATTTTAAAATTTAAATAAAAAATGGGGATTGTACCTAGATATTGCTGTTTGAAAATATGCTTACTTTGGTTTGTCCCCACCCTGAAAGTTTAAGTTTATTTTTGCAACGCCTTCGCCGTGTTTGTTTTTAGCTACAGCCCTGTATTCTCCTTTATCGGTATTTTCTACCCCAATGATCTCCAATCGCGCCATATGATACAGTGATTGATCTTCTTCTAGTGATATTTTATATCTACTGCTTTCTTTAATTAATTTCTTACCATGGTACCTGAATTTATCCATCAATGTTAGTGTATTAAGGACAGAAGTTCTATTAATTGAGTTTTAGGTAAATGTCCTTACCATGTAAGGGTTGGTTTCGGTTTGCCAACACATCTACATTCGAATGTAATTTTGGTACCATCTTCCGATTGCCTGATGACTGGTCTCTCCGTAAAAGTGGGTTTGATAAAATCTTCAGGCACGGGCGCTTCATCGCCTAATTCGATGTGTAATAGATTATATATAGTATTTTCTATACTTTTCAAAAATTTGCAGACTTATTATATTCAATGAATATAATTTAAGATGTTTTCTTAGGACTCGTTTTCGTATTAATAAAAACTCAACCACGTTTTTATATAAAGTTAATCAAGGGAGAGAAGTAGGTAACATTCTCATTTAGATAGATATATATATGTATATGTATATATGGATTATTGTTCAATTTGGAACAGAACAGATCATACAATCAGTACGCATTACAGTTGCTAAGAATATTAATATATAAAATATGTTTGCATAGGCAAAAGCAAATTACAGAAACATTTAACACATTAAAATACAAGAAAATATGAGGTTAGTAAAGCTGTCAGTTGGATAATAGAATATTATAAACATACATAGACGAGATGGATAAAAATAAAGATGTTTTATATTTAAATAATGAAATTAGTAAGTGGTCGAAAATACGTCACAATTCACTTAGAAAACATCTTAAAATGATAACTTAGAACAAGTTCATTTCATGTTCTTTTGTAATTAGTTGATGAATTAAGAAGCTTTGCTGCAAATTCTACGCTTAAAATAAATGAGACTACACATATATTAGATTAGAACCACACAGATACAAGGAAGCAGAATATCTTAAAATAGCTAATTTATCTAAAGTGTATAATATTTTGAATATATTTGTTCAAATAATTCGACACTACAAAAAATTTACTACGACAAATAAACCATAAAAATATACATGCGTTATTTTTATTTTTCTTTTATTTATTTTTTCATTTATTGAATTTTTTAATGAATACAAATACCTATATAGTTTATAAAGCAATTTAGTTGCTTTGGTTTATTTAAATATATTTAATGGTATATATAAAGAAATAAATTATACTAACTGTCGAAGTTCAAACTGATAGTAGCGTTGCTTTCGCCGAGTTCATTTTTCGCAGTCACTCGATACTTGCCAGCGTCTTCCACTGTTACATTATTTATTTCCAACGAAGCGTAGTAAGACTTCCCTTCCTTACTTACTGTCAACTGTGATAAATAAACAACTCCGTTAATCTTTCTCACTATGATTGATAGAATGACACAATCTGTTGTCTTAGTCTAGCCCCATCTATATTAAATATCGTAATTAATTTGTTATACTGTCATAACCTAATTACATTGAGGTCAAGGTCATTTTAATTGTGTTAGAGTTATGTTACGATCTTTGACACTAATAATTATGAATTTACATAATATTATAATAATAAAAGGACTGTAAATTCATCTGCTCTTTGTAAAACCTGTCAAAACTCAAGAATACTTAAGAAACTTAAGAACTTTTTGTTTCTATTTCTTCATTACCAAAAATATGTTTACCCTTTCTTTAAGCAAGATTAATTCTCAAAATAGTTAAGGAATCAAAGTGATGTATAATTTGTTTGTCTCTTTTGTTTTCTTGGTTTTAAATGATTTCTTACGAAATTTCATCCTCCTAACTGTCAATGTCTTGTTACATAAAAACTGACCTAAATTTATATTTTACAGTAAATATCTGAACGCCAGTACAAAAATTTTACCTTTAATATATATTTTAATACTACAAATTATTAATAGTATTTTTTTATTTATATGACGTAATTATGAACATATGGTGTCGATGAGACACGTTTACAGGGGTAGAGTTAACTGCATCGATAGGAAGAAGACTACAAATTTTAAAGTTAAGAAACTTCTGAAAATTTTGTTTGAATGATTTTTGATTTCATTTCTAGTAAATTTTATAACATTTATTAGTAGTTCAGCTACTAGAGACAAAGTGAAATGTAATAACTCAAAACCGTAACAATCGGTTTAGTCGTTTTCGAGTTATAAGTGTTCGAACACAACTTATTTTGTTTGACATATATAGATTAGATGCTTACCTTATGTCTCGGACTGTGTTTGACTTCCAATGTGTTGTGAAACCAAGCCACACTGGGTACAGGCTCAGCTTCAATACGACACTCGAAGATCAGTCTCTTACCGTCATCTTCTTGTCTTATTGCAGGCTTACGCGCGAACGTGGGCGCTTTACCGTCTATTTGTCTGAAAGGTTTAAATACTTTTAAGTACTTTCTTTCTTTACCCATATAAGTGAAGTCAAAATAAGTGAAGTGGAATTAAATCATCTGTTTCGTATAAAATTTATAACGTGTGGTTTATTTGTATATATTTGAAAAATATTAAAATAAGAATATGTATGATAAATGAAAGATTAAATACTCACTTTTGTCTATCTTCGTCAGCGGCTGAAAAAAATAAATCGATTGAGACGTTTTTTTATATAAATTTATAAAGCATTTAGTTAATACTTATTGTTCTAACAAATAAATTGAAATAAAAACAAGTGGTTTATTTTACATATAGAAATTTACTTGTTTTGAGGGTAACCGTGAAAAAATCTACTTATATATGTCACATGAACAAAAATACTGACGATCGTATTTTTTAATATCAAAATTATACATGCGGATTTTTGTATATAATATGTTTGTAACTAGGTGATATAAAATGTACTATTTTATAGATTAAAATAACGTTTTATTAATTTTGTTGATAAAAAATAAAAGCAAAATCTATTTGAGATCCCATAAATCCCATAAAAGTTAAACCATATTTGACTTATATAACAGTATTCATATAGCACATATACATATATATATTTATACAGGGTGACTGGTGAATTACTATCGATATTTGAGGACGTGATATTTGACGATCATATATGACAAAATAAAAATTAATATAACATAAATATCAATAAACTTCTAAGTAAAGTTAACCAAAAGTTATGTAATTAATTACGCATCGTGTGAACACCCTACAGATTAGGTATACACTCACACTCACACATACGCGTGTCGCGACGTGTTGTTGTATCAGCACGCCGCCGCACGCGTCCACACTTGAACACTTGGAACGTGTCAACACTTTACTTATTTATACGGAAATTTTGTCAAAAATTAAGTACCTATTTTTTTTACATAATTCGAATGAGAATCATGTACCGAGTATTCTCCTTAAATATTGATAGTAATTCACCAGTCACCCTGTATATTTTATTATATATAATTATAATCAATTAATATATGTATATATAAAAATATTTATTTTATAGGGAATGAATGAAACTTTCAAAAAATACCATCTATGAAGTGAATGTAAAAACTGATGAAAAAAAAATTTTATGTATCAGTTAAGATAAATAGAGAATCTGCGGTTATTTGCTTTGAATAACATCAACCAGACGTAAACATTTTGATTCAAATCAGAACCAGAATAGCACCAGGTGCCGAATATTTTATTAGAACGCGTGAAGTTCTAAGAAAACTATGAATTTGAATTCATAGTTCTATTAAATCATTTTAAAATTGTCTAAAAAATTGTAATAATGATATTAGGAATAATACTATCTTTGAAATGATAGCTAGATTTTAACTAATACAAAATATTTTTATGAATATGCTTTTTTTATTAAATACACATGTTGTCATAATTATTCCTATTGCAATTCCTATTTACAATGGTTCATAGGATTTTAATCATATTTGTTAAATATTTTTAAAACTATTTTTTTTTTTGCTATAAATTTACTTTACAAAAAAAAATTAATATTAATAAGATAAAAAAAAATACTATTGATAAGAAAAGAATACTTTATCGAGTATTCGTTTAAATGAAACTAATATTTTTCGGATTACTACGCGTGTGATATTATTTTAAAATTACAAAATTACGATGTTTCGATTACTTTTCAGCAATCGTGATCACGGGCAGAAGATAATTAGTCTTAAGATATAAATTACTCATTTGTCAAAAATGTATGTCATTGTACTTGTTATGCTGTAAGGTAAGGAGTGAAGGTTTTGGCACCTCAGTGGATGAGTTATGTTTGTATTTTTATATTTTGTCTAATATTATAAAGAATGAATCATTCTCGCATTACAACGAGCAAAATATCGAATTTCGAAATAATATTCTTAATATCAAAAAATTGCCTTAATTCATTTAATTATTAACAAGAATAAATTATATATTTCTTTCATTCAAAACGTCATTTTAACTTGAGTATTATAATTGCTATTGTAATATTTTGAATATATAAATCTGAACCATCTCATAAAACGCATACAGCTCATGCTATAATAAAAAATAAATATATTTAAACCTTTTAAACTCCATCGTAAATGCTAATATATCTCTCAAATATTTTGATGGGAAAATACACACATGAAATACATAAAACTGTATGAAAAACTTTAACATTAAGAACAAATAATGTATGTAACACTGAGGTAATAGTTTCGTCATCAGCCTATCAAAGCCCATTGCTTAGCAAAGGACTCTTTCTCACATGGAGAAGGTTTGCTCAAGACGGGTTGGTGATTTCAAACTTATAATTGTGAAACTATAAGTCCAGGTTTTCTCACGATGTTTTAATTCACCGTATGTCAGTGGTGTCTAAATACTCTCAGGTAATCGCTTAGTAATAATAAAAACTTACGGCTGAAGTTAAGATTGATGGATGCGGCCACCTCGCCCATCTTATTCTTAGCCTTGACCTTGTACAACCCCGCGTCCGTCTCGATGACGTCATCTAGCTCCAACACCACCAAGAACTTGTTGTTGGCGATGCTTTGGATCCTGAGGAGAAGGAAATTTTAATAGGACTGAATTCAACTGACATGAGTGTATGAGATTGTATGACTTTTATCTAGTTGAACTACGGTCGTTAATACAAGAACGATAAAATACAATAAGCCTTTAAGCTTGCATATTATTGAAAAAAAACAAAAAAAACTTTAACGGTAAAAGTATGCAAGTTTGCGAATATTTTATAATGTACTATATGTAGTTCAAAGCAATCATGTCGGCATCAACTATCAATTTATTTAATTTGATACATAAGTCTTATGTACCAAAATTACATTTGTACTTTTAAGCTCTATTATTGATATGTTTTCACAGTATTGCACTAAAATATTCGTAAGGAGGAAACAGTTTAACTTGACAACCAAAAAACTGTGTCCGCCTGGAAATATTCCCTTTTATTCAAAGTTATCTTACAAAAAATATTAACTCAATGAAAATATTTTTCTACATAATACGTATGTTGTGTTGACAAGGATTTTATCATTTGAATTCTTTATATAAGATTTTGTGATTGGTAACAACATTAAATAGATTTGACAATTCTATGAAAATCTAGCCACTTCTATTACTATACATACAGTAGAAACTGGCAACTATTAACTAAACGCTATGTATATCTAAACGAGACAGTATCTTTATATCGTAATAAGTAATCTCTCTACATAAAAGCTAAATTTTCAGCTTCATAAACATATACATAATGATTTTTATATAAGGGTATTTTTTTCATTCATTCACTTATTCATCAAAGTAATAAAATCTTTAACATTTATAACAAAAACTTGGTTTGTTTTAATTGAACTTGAACTGACATATAAGTTACAGAAAAATATACCTCTGTGACGATCTAAAGTAAATTAATTTCATAATTAATATTTCTTTTATTAAGTAATTATAAAAATATAGTTTTGGTACAAATGTATGTACTGTAATTATATTTTAAAGCTAGTCAAACAGTGGTAGATTGATTTCGATAGAAACAGAGAAAGGAAGTACCAAAGTTTTCGAAAGAAGACCGTGTACTTTTTGAACAACTTTGTTTTCAGTTACAATTTTTTAAACTATGACAGTTAGGTTTAAAATTTTTACTAATCTTCCAACTTTCTATAAAGTTTTCTGGTGATATATTCAAATCATATTATCAAGTATAATTTCCTATAATATCAAATTATTTACATTTAAACATAAATCTGTTATGAAATCGTTAAATTGTTGATGAATCTTCAATGAGATTAATTACAAATCACAAACTGCTATAAAACTCGGTTCAATCAAATCTTTAGCGGTAGGATTTTAAGATAACTCAATTGCAATTAAGATTCAGCAAAGAGAAGATTCAGATGAAACACTTAATCCTTGCTCGCACGTGCCAATTGTGTCAACTCTCGATTGTGTTCGCTTTTAATAGCATCAAAAGGGATTAAGAGAAACAAATAATCTGGCGAGTGATTGTGTCGATGACCTACAATGAACTGTAGACGGTGCACAGACAGTTATTAAGGTTTTTTTATATGTATGGATGTAATTTGCTATTAAAAAATCAGATATTTTGATCTATAAACAACTTGTATCTATTGATTTTTATATAATTTCATATTATTCGTTTCATGTTTTTTGTAAACTTTTTTTGTACTGACAATTCCATAGACTTTATTTCGGTAATTATAAGAACAAATTATTCCATACTTTATTTATACATGAAAAATATTTTTCGTATGAATTAGAAGAACGAAAATACAAAAACAATACTTTTATGTTTCAGTAGCAATGGCCAGGTTCATGTTACTTACTTAAACTGTGTCCTATTGTCCTCTTTAAGCAGTTCATCGCTGCGGTACCAACAGATTTCTGGCTTCGGTGAGGCCAGGAGTTGGCACTCGAAGACCAGCTTGTTACCATCATCCTCCTGTCTCAGCTGCGGCTTCTGGGTGAAGCTCGGGGCAAAATCGTCGCTAACCCCCATATTGCTAGGTGTTGGTCATCACTGTTTGAGAATAATGACCTCCGCTTCTAGAAACGGAGCTACAGAACCTGATTGACAAGAAAAAACATTTGTTTAGAATTCTTTGTTAGAAACGTAATTTTGTTCAATAAGTTTTGCTCTAGTTAAAAAAGTAAATGGATCGTTATACATGACAATTTAGTAACATTAGATAAAGATTTAAAAAAAAGCTCCAGAACACTATATATCTTAAAGAAAATTTATCAAAGATATTCCATGACACAGCACCGTGATGGTGTTAAAAATACATATATTCAAAGTTAAGTATTTTCAAAGTTAATATTATGAGTTTAACTATTATTTTAACTTTTTAACAACAGTATTGTGATGTGGACCAATTAATATGTATTTTTTACGATTAAAAACTATCAAAACCTTGTCTGCAGCTGATTCATATACATATGGTATATTGATAAAGCATTACATACTTCTGTTAATTGTATAATTTTTAACATTCCATTAATTTCATCGTCAATTTTAATTGCTATGTTCATAGCTCTAAAAATATTAATTGTCATAAAACACTTGTTGTTTAAATATAAATCATATAAAAATCAGAAATATTATTATTATCACGAGATAATATGTTGTTCAAATTGAATTTTCAGTAGAAATCGATCTACGTATAGCTTTAAAATGACTCATATTTGCGGCACTATCTACATCAGCTTCGTAAAATGTGTGTGTGGGTAAAGTGTGCATGTGTGGGTGTCCAATGTTAGAAATTTTCAGAAGTATAAATGAAACGTCCCATTCTATTTCTGTAACCGTTGAAGGCCTCGAAGTCTTTTCGTTTTCGTATAACTTCTGGCGGTTACCTAACGTTCCAGTTGAATTTTATTGAATATTATTATTAAAAGAATAATATTATTTTACTGCATAAATAAATAAAGGAAAACGAATAGATATTTTAAACTATAAACTGAAATAATAATTCTACATATTGCACAATATTTTATATTGGTGTACGAAAAAAAATGTCAATTAAAATAGGATAGCTAAAAATAATAAAATTAACATACCGATAAATGTAAATAGATCAATCCAAAATCACAAAAGTCTCAACACAATAAAAACACAAGCACACAGTGGTCTAGACAAACTTCTAGAACTGACGGTAAAGCTTTGGTTTCGAGAAATAGGGTTGTCGCCGGCGGCGGTACGCGTCGGGTCGTTTTCGAAATCGTAACTAAAGTATGAAAAGTTGGCTGGCAGCCGAGGCGGTGTGGGAATGCGTGTGGGTAGATGCAAGCGGTTGGATAACTAACTCTGACGTAGCCAATGCAGAGGTGTTTTCCGTCGAAGATAGAAAATGATCTAATGTCAAGGGTTGCAAAAAAATAATTCAATTTACTTAACACGATTGAAATAAATATTGAATATATAGTGATAAGATATGAAATAGTATTTATCTGGAAAGTTCAGTAACCCTTGTCTTATATTTTAGTCCCATAGTATTCGTTTAGATAGTACAGAGACACGGGTTTTTTAATGTCAACTCACGCTAAATACAACTTCTCGTTGAAAACTTAATATATGTTAACTGATTTTTAATCAAAATGAACGATTAATACACAAGTCAGAGTCAATTCATCATGAAACATAAATATCCATTAACAATAAAAGTTCAGAATTAAACATCTTAAATCAATGAGCTGCTAAACAATCCGACATGCTCCAGAAAGATTCACTGCTTCGACCCTGACTGTACGGTGTAAATTTACCACTTCGTCATTCAAACAAACACGTCAAGTACATTAGCTAGGATATTTTTCAAACCAATACATTATAATGTCTCTTGGCAACTAGGAAATATCAATAAATCATAAGCTGGTTTGTATGATGATTAAAGATGTGAAAATTTGTCCAGAAATTATAATGATGGGCAGTATTTTCTAAAAGGAACAATTTATACAATTTACTCTTTGTTGTATTATTAAATGAATCCAAAATTTATCAGATGAATTTCTAAACGTCCAGAATTCTAACAACATTATAATGACTATCACAAACCCAGATGGATCACAGGAAATCTAACTCAAACAAGAGAAGACAGTAGCAACAAATACTAGCCCACGCTGAGATATTTTAGAAATCCGGGACATAACGATAGATTCATCCGTGCTTAATATCAAGATGTTCATGAATTGCAGGAGTCAAAACAAATTGATTCCTAGAAATCTATTCAGTTTCGATTCATATCTCCAGGTCAAATATTCAGATTATGATTTATAGATTACTAGCTTTCCGCCAGCGGCTTCACACGCGTGGAGATCGGTTATATCGCGTTTCCAAGAGAACTTTTCAAAAGTCTGCAATAAAAACTATCCTATATTCTTTCTCAAGGTCAACTCTATCTCTGTACCAAATATCATTAAAATCAGTTCAGTGGTTTAGGCGTGAAAGCGTTACAGACAGATAGACAGACAGAGTTACTTTCGCATTTATAATATTATAGTAGAGATTTTTTTTATTTCAAATGACCGAAAATTCAGTTACATATTGCGTTGTAAATAAATTCTGTTCTAAATTGACATACAAGATTGTCTGTCATTGAAAAAAAATGTAGCAATAGCTTAAAAAACAAACAAAAGGTTTTTAACCAATTTATTTAAAATTATATCATGAAAATTGCATGAAAGGTACTGAAAACTGCATGTTTGAATTTTAATAAAAATAGTTTTGAGATGAATGGAATGGAATGGATGGATGAATCTTTCAACGCCCATTCACATTTTAAAATAATCTTAATATATCAAAGTCGAATTAAGCAATACATTTGGAGGCAATGCAAGCTGACCTAAAGTAAACGAAAGATCAAATGATGTATTACCAATCTCGTGATTTGGCTAACTCTCTCGTGTCATGACTATTTAAAAGATATAGTATATTAAAATCGGTTGATTCGTCATTTAAGTATGTGTTAATAGGCACGTACGCTTTTTTACAAAGAAAGATAAATATAACCTTAATACTCATTGAAAATACGATTGTGTTGTTCGGGAAAAAGTTTTTATATATATAAATAGCTCTTTATTGTTTTTCAGTTCAGAAATAATATACAAATTATTCACAGAAAATAATTTAACATTAACTCTCAACTGGTTTTCTAGTGAGAAAAATGTACAAATAATACAAATCTTTGATAATTTTGATTGCCATTAATTTTATTGTCAAAAACTTAAAAATTAATAATGTATATGGTTAATTAATTTTGAAACATTTTTCTTTTAATTTAATACATGTTTATTTTCAAACGAAGCGTGGGCTTTTCATTGTATGCGTCAAATTGTTTCAGCAGATCTACTGAGTTACTTGCTATCTTTAAACACTGATTCATTTAACGATGCTCTAATTACTTACGTATATAAGACGAATCATAATTATTAAAGAAAGTCATATCAAGGGAATAAGGAAAATTTTGTATTGAGATGATTTTGTGTATTTGAGGTTCACGTTATCAATACTGTATCTAATTTAAACATTTTTTATAATAATTTTATTATTTAATTAAATTAATTAAATTTACTTTCAGTTTTTATTATTCTGTTATAATATTTCTTAAAAGATTTAACTTTTATATTACCTTAATTTTTTTGAGTAGACTAGCTTTTGGATGTCATCTATATTTTGTAACAACTACAGATAAACTAAAGTTCTCATCGTTGCAGGGAGAGGAGCTTCAACAGTGCCTGGGACTTGCGACCCAGGTGCAGGTTTAGAGTACCCCTATCTAAGGCGCGTTAAACGTACACCACCACCGTCCAAGCTCCTCTCTCTAACCAAAATTTATATATATGGATCCATTACATATCTCAATATATGTATACCAAAATCTTAGACTAGAATGATACTTTACTATGTCACAGTTATCATTTCATATTAAAATATGTATATGTCTTACATATCTGTAGTGTACTTCAAAGAACAGATGGTTGTTATCACGACTCATAAAAATGAAGATCATAGAGTTTTCACTCATAGCTTTGCATATCAAATATGTGATTCATTGATCTCTCGTTAGCTTGATACAATGTTTATTTACATATTGAATTGCAGCCATAATATGAATTGCAATCTTGCTGTCCGATGCAATTATTGTGAAATCATTATACGATGACTTTGTAATAATAATTATTAAGATTAAAATATGTTTTCACAATTAATATACATATAATACTTTTAACTTGTTTATTGCTGTTAATTTCTTCGTGTATTTACCTAAGCACAAGAGCTTGTGACCACAACCAATGCAACCTGATCTATGCGTCAAACAAGGAAGAGAAATAACTTGTAAATCGTTTTTCCTAATATTATAATTATAATTGCTTGAATTGGTTTAAAATCTGTAATAGGTAAATAATAAAAAATAGTTTTGTGTTGGACACCAACTAAAACATATATTATAGTTTATGCTTATATTTTTATATATTTGTATAAACTAACTCACATACATATGTTAATGAAATACTGTACATTTTATCATATAATAATTAATTTAAGATGAAACTTATTACAAATATGCCTTAGTATTTTTAAATATCTTCTTTTTCAGTGTTAACACTCATCAATAATTAATTCTGCTAAATCTAATGCCAAATATATTAGTATCTCCGTCAACAATATACTGTGTCATATACATATCTTACATATTATATACACATACAAACATATATATATAACAGGTGTATATGCTGATGACTCTACTTCATAGTATTTTTGTATCCTTGAACTATAAAGTAGTTATAACTGACACTCGTACTACCTTATATTGTATATATGTATATTTATTTTAAGATTGCACTTTCCTCTTCTCTTCACTTTTTTCTATCAAGCTTCACTGTTAGAAGTATTTATCAACAATATGGCTATCAAGGCATACTATTTAAATTGTTACGCTACCAATTTTGTATAATTAATATATATCTTTGTTTGCAATAATTACGATTAAAACGTTAATG